CGCGCTTTCAAGGTGAGTAAAATGTCTGCGTATAGTAAGTAAAAAACGCTAGCTCGTCACATCTAAAGCGAGTGCTTAGGCATCCCACATCGTTTCAAGCTAGAATGAGCAGAAATCAAGTCAAAGTCATAAGACTAGAACGAAATAGATAGAATCAGTAACCGCAACACTCTGCTATACATGAGGTCGGGCGCGTTGGTGAAAATATGCAGTTAAGGCAGCTCTGCACCTGCTGAGCAGATAGCAACGGAGAGCGAAGATGCGAACGCGACGTGAGGATGTTGAAAGCAGCAGGAGATCGAACAGAAGGAGCACAAGAACGTGAAGCGACAAGCAAAACGGGGAAACGACCGACCAACCCGGAAAAGATCGAGTTTGGTGCCGCGGGTCTCCACGTGACGGGTGCACGACCGATCCGGACTAGCGCATGATCGGCGCCCGCAGCCTGAGGAACGGCGGATGTAAACAAACAGCGGAACCCGAAGGGGCCCCAGAGGGAGCAGGTGGTCAGTGGGTGACTGTCATTCTGCACCTCCCGCTGCTTGGTATGCTGCAGCTTCATTTAATATACATCTGCCCAACTTCCCTTATCTTCTTCTTCCCTTGTCCTTGAATCGTTCCTCTTTCCCGTGGCCACTTCAGTTGGCCTGGATGCTTCGTTGCAACATCATCCGAGGGCTCATTGCTTGAGTCTCCATTACTTTCATAGATATTTGTTATGATTACGACCTTCTCACTGAATAATGATCCATTGACCTTAACGAAGATATGCTTCCATCACAGTTAAATGGCTCCCCTAAGCGGGCCAACCCTTTCAGCCGCGCATCGCCGTCACCGACTCCCTCCCCAACTCAGCAGACAAGAGGTATTCGCCCCAAGTCGGCCGTTGTTACGTCCCCCAGTAAATTCGAAGAGGCCCGGGGCCATTTTCGAAACTCTGCTTCCATCTCACAGTCGCCATCACCGTTGGTGGCACGGACAACGCATCGGCCGAGGTCGAGCTCAATAAGGAATGATGTTTCATCGGGAACGTTTGCGCCCGAATTCATCAAGTCGGAGGAGCTACGCAGGGGTGCGGATCAGATCCGGGGACAAGAGGGCGACAATGACTTCTCCGGAAACAAGTATGTCTGGCTCCGCGATACCGAAAAGGCGTTCGTGCGTGGGCTTGTTCTCGAAGAGCAAGAAGGTGGCCGGATGTTAGTTCAGACCGACAATGGAGAGGTATAATCACCCAAAGGCATCGGAGACTGAGCTAGAAGGGCTTACGGATAAACACAGCAAAGGGAGGTCGACGCTGACCAAGTCGACAAAGTGAACCCGGCGAAGTTTGATAAAGCAGATGATATGGCTGAACTCACGCATCTAAATGAAGCCTCAGTGGTTCACAATCTGCACACCCGATATCAAGCCGATCTCATCTATGTAAGTGTACCGATATACGGACCAATTGATAGACATTCGGAGCTAATCCTTGCCGGTCACAGACGTACTCTGGACTTTTCCTCGTTACTGTGAACCCATACTGCCCATTGCCAATCTACACAAACGAGTATGTGAAGATGTACAAGGGTCGTAACAGAGAAGAGAGCCGTCCCCACATCTTTGCTATGGCTGATGAGGCCTTTCGAAATCTGGTCGAAGAAGGAGAGAACCAAAGCATTCTCGTGACGTAAGTCTTCTGAAAGGCCAATCACAGATTCAGGACACTAATTCGACCCTAAAGAGGAGAGTCAGGTGCAGGTAAAACCGAGAACACCAAGAAGGTTATACAATACCTTGCAGCTGTTGCGACAACCGACACCCCTTACGCTCGATCTGGCACTAAGCAATTGTCCGCCCTGTCCCAACAGATACTGAGGGCAAACCCCATTCTGGAGGCGTTTGGAAATGCCCAGACCGTCAGGAACAACAACTCTTCCCGCTTTGGCAAGTTCATTCGTATTGAGTTCACCCGGGCCGGCCAGATATCGGGTGCTTCGATCGATTGGTATCTACTGGAGAAGTCTCGTGTTGTGAAACCTAATTCGCATGAAAGAAACTACCATATCTTCTACCAGTTATTACGGGGAGCAGACCGAAAGCTTAGGGAGGCTCTCCTTTTGTCCGACTTGCAGATTGAGGATTTCGCCTATACTCGTGATGGTAACGACACCATTGCTGGGGTCTCTGATGAGGACGAATGGAAAATGTTGATTGAGGCTTTCCATGTCATGGACTTTTCCGAGGAAGACCAGATGTGCATCTTGCGCACTATCGCAGCAGTCCTTCATCTGGGAAATATCACCATCGTCAAGGAAAGCCTACGAGCCGATCAAGCTGCACTTGGCCCCGACTCCCTGAACAGTGTAGAGAGGGCTTGCCACTTGCTAGGTATAGAACCTGAGCTATTCGTCAAAGGACTGCTGCATCCTAAGGTCAAAGCAGGCCGCGAGTGGGTGGAAAAGGTTCAAACGCCAGAACAGGTTCGACTAGCACTCGATGCTCTCGCCAAGGGTATCTATGAACGAGGATTTAGCAATCTTGTCGACAGAATCAACAACCAGCTGGACCGCAGCACTGTCGCTGGCGATGACAGCTTCTTCATTGGAGTCCTCGATATTGCGGGTTTCGAGATTTTCAAGAACAACAGCTTCGAACAGCTGTGCATCAACTATACCAACGAGAAGCTGCAGCAGTTCTTCAACCACCATATGTTCGTCTTAGAACAGGAGGAATACGCACGAGAGCAAATTGAGTGGCAATTCATTGACTTCGGAAAGGACTTGCAACCAACAATTGACCTAATCGAGTTGACCAATCCTATTGGTATCTTTTCGTGTCTAGATGAAGATTCTGTTATGCCAAAGGCTACAGACAAATCTTTTACTGAGAAGCTGCACTCGCTCTGGGATCGGAAATCACCGAAGTATCGTGCTTCTCGCCTAAGCCAGGGATTCGTTCTGACGCACTACGCTGCTGAGGTAGAGTATGGCACAGAGGGCTGGCTCGAGAAGAATAAGGACCCACTGAACGATAACATAACGCGACTGCTTGCAAGGTCAGGTGAAAAGCATGTCGCGACTCTGTTCTCCGACTGCGGCGACGCCGACGATGACAGCGACTACCCTAAGAGTCGCGTGAAGAAGGGTCTCTTCCGCACCGTTGCGCAAAGACATAAGGAACAACTATCTAGCCTCATGAATCAGCTGAACTCAACGCATCCTCACTTTGTGCGCTGTATTATACCCAACCACAAAAAGCGCCCGAAGATGTTCAACGCACCCCTGGTCCTCGATCAACTACGTTGCAACGGTGTGCTCGAAGGAATACGAATTGCACGCACGGGGTTCCCCAATCGGCTGTCATTTTCGGAATTCCGTCAACGCTACGAAGTTCTCTGCCCTGCCATGCCCAAGGGATACCTCGACGGCCGGAATGCCGCTCATGTTATGTTGCAAAAGCTCGGGCTGGACCCTGCTTGGTATCGAGTCGGTCGTACGAAGGTATTCTTCAGGGCAGGGGTCCTGGCCGAGTTGGAAGAGAAACGAGATCAGCTTATTCGCACCATCATGACCCGGTTCCAATCTGTGGCAAGGGGATTTGTCCAGCGGCGTATCTCCAACAAGCGCTTGTATCGGGCGGAAGCAACACGCATCATTCAGGACAACTTCAAGACTTACCTCCAGCTGAAAGCGAACCCATGGTGGAGACTGTATTCCAGGATGAGGCCTCTTCTGGGAGAAACTCGCACTGCCAATGAAGTCAAAAGGCGGGACGAGAAGATCAAGTCCCTGGAAGCGAAGATGAACCAGGATATAGCTGATCGACAGAAGCTAGAGGAAGAGAGGCGTCGTACCGAGATTGAAATACAGAAGATTCAACAAACGTTGGAGAGTGAGCGTGCCTTGGCTCTCGACAAGGAGGAGATATTCAAGAGACTGCAAGTCCGAGAAGTTGAGCTTAGTGAGAAGTTGGCCGGTGCTATCGCAGACCAGGAGAGCCTCGAAGATCAACTAGATGATCTAATAGCTGCCAAGAAAAGAACGGATGACGAGCTTGAGCTCCGCATAACCCAACTTGAACAGGCAGGAGAAATCATCCAACGCTTTGAGAACGAAAAGCATGAGATGCAGGCACGTCTAGAAGAACTCGAGAAGAAGCTGGCCGAGGCAGAAAGCTCTTCCCTAGAGAAGGAGGCCAAGATCAAGGAGCTGGGCCAAGAGTTAAAGATGTTGCAGAGTCACCTCAGCTTAAAAGAGCGCAAACTGCAAGATCTAGAGACAAAACTCTTGAAGACTGATCAAGATCTTGAAGTTAAGCTCTCCAAGACCTCGAGAGACCTAGACCAGTCCAAGAAACACATCAAAGAGCTCATTGAAGAAAATCGGGTCATAAGACAACAAATCACCGACCTCTCCTCAACATCCACTGGCTACGAAGAGATGCTTAGGCGAAAGGAAAGCGAAATGGCTGTTCTGCGAAATGATGCCAAGAAGCATGAAGAGGAAAAAAGATACCTAGAGTCGGAGAAGGTTTCTCTTACTACGCGACATGACAGCATGCAGGAGCGTCTACGAGAGCTGCAAGCTGAGGTAGACGCGATGAGGTCAGAGAAGGTTCAGCTTGAGCGAGAGGCGGCCGATGTCAAGAAGCTACTGGAGGCAAAGATATCAGAGGATGCCGAGGCTGGCGAAAGCCGAAAGCTTCTCGAACAGCAAATCCAAGAATTGAAAAATCAACTCTTCAAAGCACAGGCTGATTTGAGCCGGGAGCGTCAATCGCGTGATGATGTGCAAATGCTTGCCGAGCATAATCTCGCGGAGCTCAAGGACAAGTACACTTCCTTGAATGAATCAAAGATTATCATCGAAAAGGAGATGTACATTCAGCAGGACACTCTTCGTCGTGCCACGGAAGCCCGCGTTGCTGCTGAGCAGTCACGCAAGGAACTTCAAACTGAGTTGATTCAACTTCGGGACCGCTTCACGAAGGTCGAGGATGCGCGATTAAACGCAGAGGCCGACATTGAGCGCAACATCATGAAGCAGGCCAACGAGCGTCTTGAGAGTGTGCGCAAAGACCTGGATGATAAGACACGCCAGCTGGAAGAGGTAGAAGCTGAAAGGTCACGTCTTTCCACCAGAATTCAAGAATTGACCCACGCTATCGCTGAATCTGACAATTTCCGCATTCGCCATGATCAACATAAGGAACGCCTGGAGAGGGAATTGGTGACGCTCAAGGGTAGGCTTACAGCATCGGAAAATGATAACCGAGCTCTCCTCACAAAGATCCAACAAAAGAACCTCGACATAGCCCGATCGACTTCCAGGGCCAGTGACAACTCGCGCCTGCGCATAACTGCTCTCCAGAAAGAAAAGACGAAGCTCGAAGAGGACAACAAGAAAATAACCCGTCAGCTTGGCGATCTCCAAGTCAACATCACTTCTCTGGAGAAGCAGAAAGAGAAGTTGTCTTTGAGCCTGGAGGACCTTAACCACGAGGTTGCTAGAGAACACAAAGCCAGTCGGAATGCGGAAAAGGCTGCTTCCACTGCCAACATCCAATTGGCGGAGGCGAACAGAAACCTTGAGACCGAAAGACAGCTCCGGACCCAGGCACAAGCAAATACGCGCAAGCTTCAAGGCTCCCTGGATACGGCAAACAAGGAGATCGAAGATCTACACCGCCAATTAATGTTGCTGCACAAGGTAGTGGAGCCTGACTCTGATGAATCGGAATCCTGGGAGAAGGTCCAGCCTAGTCTGGCTAAGAAGGTTGATTTGGCACAATTGTTACAGACGACACAGAGTAGGTTGCAAGTCACCGAGGAGAAGTATAGTCGAGCCGAGGCCCAATTGGCGGAAATGCGTCGTCGGCATGGGGATGAAATGAAGGAGCTGGATGCACGTTACGCCTCATCTAAACGCGCCTTGCTCGAGGAGATCGACCAGAACCAGGTAGCTAGCCCTCGGACCCCTACTCACCTCAGAAAGAACTCCGACAATGTTCTGGCAAAGAAGTTCGGCACTCCTACAACGCCTAACCGTAGGCTTAACTTCAATGAAACGGCAAATGACTCTGCTCGATCTGACAGAACCGTGGATACTGTCGGCTACCAAAAGCGAATGGATCTGGCGACCGAAATTGAGGAGCTGCAGAACAAGCTTCAAATGAGCGAAATGCAGAACAAACATCTCCAAAACCAGCTTTCCCAAGCAGCACTTGGTCGTGATATGTGGCAGGAAGAAAGTCCTTCTCTTCGACGCATGCAGCTGCTTGAACGTGAGAACGGACGTCTACACGAGCAGCTCGATGACTCCTCCAAGAAGGTCTCTGCTCTTGAGAAGAACATTCGGTCAGGTGATCTTTCACTGCGGGACGTCCAAGCCAAATCGCATGAAGAACTGTACGACCTAATCAACTCGCAGGAGCAGTCCAGAAGGTCTTTGCTCAAGGTGCACAACGAAGCCATTGCAGAGTTCAGCGACGCCAAAGCTCAATTCGAAAAGCTTAAGAGGGCTAAGGCTACGCTGGAAGTAGAACTCCGTGATGCCCGTTCCGAGTTCCAGGAGCTGCAGGTCGCAAGGGACCAGGATGCTGTTAGTCGGAATCAGCTTCTTCAGGAGTTCTCTGACCTTCAAATCCGCTTGGATGCAGAGACCTCGAAGTCAGCCGATTTGGCTTCCAGTATGAGCTTGTACAAGACCCGTGCCGATGAGTATTTCAGCAAACTGGAACAAGCTGAGATTGCAGTTCTGAAGGCTACTCGAGCAGAGCAATTCGCCAAATCCCAGGCCCAGGAGGCCGAGGATACCTGTGCCCAGATAATGTCTGAGCGCAAACAAATGGATGCCCTGGTTGAAGACCTGCAACGTCAAACTCAGTCGCTCGAGGCCAGAATGGAAGATCAAGCAGCTGAGCTCCAAGGCGCACTCCAGGCCAAACAGCGTCTCCAAAACGAGCTTGAAGACTACAGAAACCAACGTGCCATTGATATTGAGGACAAGGAGACATCAATGGAACAGACTAGGCAAAAGTATCAGCGCGAATTTACCACGCTCAACAACGAATTGGAGATGGAGCGTGAAAAGGTCCTCAATGTTCGCGGTGAGAACTCACGCCTCCGTGAAGAACTTGAAGACTTGCGGAGCAAGTGGGACAATGAAGTCTTGAACAGCTCTACTTGGGCTAAGGAGAAGGCTCGAATGGACATCATGCTTCAAGACGTGACGACATCTCGTGATGAGGCAGTGAATGCTCATAATGAAGCTCAAAGCAGGGTTGTCTCCCTCCTGTCCCAGGTGAGAACTCTTCGCACCTCCGTCGACGACGTGACCGCGGAGCGCGACATGCTGCTCAAGGAGAAGAAGATGCTGGAAACCCGGTTAGCTGAGGCAGGTGAAAGGCTGGAGGATCTCGCCAAGGGCGAGAGTCCATCGATGCGCAATGCTGCAAGCATGGACCGTGAGTTGTTGGAACTTAAGTCCAAGCTTGCTCAACAGGAAGATGTTTCCGCAGCTGCAGTTGGTAAGATGAGGCGGGCGGAAGCATTGGCGACGGAGATGCAGAAGGAAGTCACTGCTGAGAGAGAAACAAATGCTCAGCTCTTCAAGGACAAGGCGGCCCTCGAAAAGCAGCTGAAGGAATCTCAACTTCGTTGCGTTGATCTCGAGACCAAGAGCTACTCATCTGGAAGCCAGGACGTCCGATTCTTACACAAGAGAATCAAGGAAGTAAGTTGCCCCATATATATGCTAAACTCGTCGTCACCATGAAGGATGCTAACAATTCTCAAACTAGCTGGAAACCCATCTGGAGGACCAAGAAGCCAAGCACAGTTCCGAGCAACGTTCGTTGCGGAATGTCGACCGCACGGTTAAAGACCTGCAGTCCCAGATCGAGCGCAGGGATAAGATGAATTCCCAGCTCAATGACGACGTCAGCAAAGCTCGCGACAAGATCGAGCGTCTTCTTCGGAACATCGAGGAGCTTCAGCACACCGACTCGGAGACGCAGCTGCAAGTGCGCCGAGCAGAGCGAGAACTCCGGGAAGAGCGGGAGAAGTCTCTCAGGCTGGAACGTGAACTAGAGGGATGGCGAGCGCTCCGGGTTGAGAGGGGCAGCGTCCTCGGACGTAGCCACGTCGGCGCTTTCAGCGACGCCGGAAGCAGGAGAGGGAGCAGCGTGTACGGAGGCGATATACCGCAGCGGATGCCTAGCAACACCAAAGGCTTCTTGTAAGAATATGACGACCTAGCAGGTTGACCCTGCTGAGCACATGGCTCTATCTAAACTCAGGCGCTAAACATTCATTTAGGGCCTGAGCGACCAATTACGACTATGACTTGATGGCAGCCCTGCATGGCTACGGAGTGTTGACGGAAGGCGGCGCTTGGATTATGCTTTTGAATGATTTTGATGTGTACTATGCTATATGATCTGTTTTAATGCTTTATGATGCATCTTGACCATATGCAGCGGATAGCCGTGTGCATCCCAGTCTTGTTATTGTTCTAATGTTATTGTTCACCAAATTATACCTCGCATTATCATTTCCTGAAGCGGTTCATAGCTCATATATATATAATAGACATCAGTACCACAAAGCTTGCTATGCAAAACCGAGTCGAAAATTAACATTGCCCACCCCTTTGAATAACAATATCCGATATCATTGAAAATTCAAAGTTAGGTTCCCATGTACAAGTCAGCCACCACAACTCAAAAATGACATGCACTGCATCATTGGCAGCAAGGGAAACCATAAACTCGGTAGACTGACAGCCAAGAACCACGGGACCCGTAGCCGCGCGGCTGCAACTGTTAGCGCTCGCTTGTCAACGGGCGGACGAACCCACCCGAGCTTGGATCAAGAGAGAGCGCGAGAGCCAGCGTCCCAGTCTCTCATTCTTCACTTCAATCCTCTCAACCACAAAGCTCCATCAGCCACGGGGATCCCCCGCGCCGCTCTTCACAATGGTAAGCCCTCATAATCAACTCCACCTCCGAACAAATCACCCTTTTAAATCAAGCGACCGTGCCCCCGAATCTTGTCCAACTCGTCACCCAAATTTCCTCCTCGCCTCTCCCTTAGCCTTCAACCACACCTAAACCTTAAGCTCAACCAAAAATTCCCCACTAACAAAATGACCAGGCGCGTAACAGCGAAAAAGCCCAATCGATGCTCTTCCGTTTCCGGGCCCAACAAGCCGCGGATCTCGGAATCATCGACATTGGGCGCACGCGCCGCCCGAAAGCCATCACCACCGTTGACTCGATCCCGATGTGCGAGAAATGGCGCGGCCAAGTGCTGAAGGAAATCTCACGCAAAGTGTCTCGGATCCAGGAGCTCAGTCTAAGCGATTACCAGATCCGGGATCTGAACGATGAGATCAACAAGCTTATGAAGGAGAAGTGGACGTGGGAGATGCAGATTCGGAACCTGGGCGGGCCCAACTATATGCGAGGCTCAGGCCGAGTGTTTGATGATGATGGGAGGGAGATACCGGGCGGTGGGAAGGGGTATCGGTATTTTGGACGAGCGAGGGAGTTACCGGGTGTGAAGGAGATGTTTGAGGCGGCGGCGAGACGGGGGAGGAGGCCGGCTGAGGAGGAGGATGAAGAAGGTGGGAAGGGGAGAGGAGGCGAGATTGCGACGAAGAAGGTCGATGCTAATTACTTTGGGTATGGGTTGGATGAGGAGGATGGGACGCTTTTGGCGTATGAGAAGCAGAAAGAGAAGGAGGCTGTTGAGCGATTGCGCAGGAAGGATGAGGATGTGGAAGATGGGTGGGAGCCGTTGCCTGGTGATGCTGGGGATGGCGTCGAGTGGAGGTTGCCTACACTTGACGAGGTCCAGGAGGAGTTGGTTGATCGACGGAGGAGGAGGTTGTTGGACAAGATCTCATGAGATTGTGCGGTTGTTGGGGCGTCTGTCCTCGTGATGCGCTATGCGCTGACTCTGGGGCTCTTTTTTGATTTTCTTTTCGTCTATCATGGGCGTTTAGGGTTTACGATGATTTCTCGTCTCCTTTTGTCTCTCTCCTACGTCTTTCTGCGGTTTTAACAAGTCTACTATGCATCTGAGGGAAGGCAAAAGCTCATTGATGATACCAACATGATTCGTTCTTTTGTACAATGGAAAGGAGATATATCTATATTACATGATTCTTTATTTATTTACAGCTTGGGTTGCTTTCTGCCCAGCTTCTCAGCCTTCAAGGCCTGAGTATAGCTGGTGGGTATCTCTCGCTCTCCGCCTTCTTGCAGACGGCGTTCTTCCTCCTTCAGATCATCAAGCATAAACCTGCCCAGGTCGCCGGCACGCCACTTTTGTATGAAGTGCAGTGCTGCCAGGTCGGTGTTTGGAATTCCGCCCTTGGCCAAGAGACCAGCATGTCGGGCGAAGTTGTTCAATAGAGGTAAAATCTCGTTTGTTGGCTCAGACCATCGCTTATATACCTCGGCGTCATTCAGGTTGATGTGATATAATAGGTAGTCGGCTAGCGTGACCGGGGAAATGACCGAGTCCTTGACGCAGCCACACAGGGCTAGCTTTAACATGTTCTCCGCGTCCGGCACGTATGGCATGAATACTCCAGGGGTATCCAAGACGTAGACATGTGAGCCACCTTCTCGTTCGATGATCTTCACGGGTGTCCCGATCTTTCTTGTGATACCTGGCTGGCCACCGGTCCGCACCGCCTTAGCTTTCCCAACACCCTGATTACGCAGGTGATTGATGAGCGTCGACTTGCCCACATTAGGCATACCAACAATCATCACCCGGCATCCAACAAGCTTGTCCGGTCCTTCTGCATCGTCCCGCAGGTGTTTCAGGATTGTGCCCACATCTGCCCGAGAGGACGAGCTCACGAAGAATGTAGCGCCGTTCTTATTGAAGGTTCGAATGGTTTTTTCTGCCTAAGTATGTATATTATATGTTAGCACTATCATACTTATGGCGCATTCCTCTCACTTGTGGTATTCCACTCACCAATTTCTGCGCATTCGATCCCGCTGTAGCACCCAGATCTCTCTTTGTATAGACGGTCAACCGCCGTGTCTTTCCCAGTGCTTCTTCGAACATAGGGTTGATAGAAGTAACAGGAACTCTGTAATCTCGACACTCGACTACATAATCAATGGAAGAGAGCATGTTCTGCATCTTCTTCAGGCCGGCCCTATGGTGGCCCAGGAAATAGGACCTCGGGATGGACCCATAGTTGGGGAAAGCCTGGCGCGGGATAAACTTGGCTGCCATTGTCATCGGTCCATAGAGTTGTTGAATGTTAGAATGTCTCTGACGACTTGAAGACTCCTATCCAGCTGGCATCATCAAGGAGTTGTGCGGAGTTGCTGCCGTGTGGAGGACATGGCCAGTGGAATTGGAGGCGAGGAAATTCCTCCGCGGGAGAGATTCTGTCGGTCAGTGAAGGCGGTGAAGAAGGCGGAATGCTTGTTCCCTACTGATGGACTGCGGCGCTCTACGTATACATCTGAGACCAACACCTGAGAGTGGAAAGAGACCCCTGTAGATATTCTCTTATGATCTGAACATATGTCTCTCTGATGAACACTTTCCGTGCACAAATGAGTCTGCAGGTCGTCGCTATACTGCAGGATCCACCAAGACAGATTCCAATACTTACTACACAGTGACTTATCACGAGGTGAATCCATGATTTGACTTCTCTTCAGGCTCATATCTCATAATTTACTTCCAATAATCGCGGTGAACTGATACGGTTCAGCCAAAGTGGTCAATTAGTCTCCTCTAAGGCGGCTTCACCCGTGCGGTTCGGAGAGCGTGCCGTGAGTCTTATCGGGAATATGATACGTCATGAGGGCCAAGGCGGGCATCGCTGGTTCCCCGCCAGACCAACTTCATCCCCTCCAGATCACCACAACAGGCTGCTCCCTAGTATGACTGAACAATGCCGTTAATATCTGCCTTTCGACCCCGTTCCACGCGGAGCTCCTCTCTCCGGCGGAGACCCCGTAGGCAGAGAAGGTCTCCGAGACGTGGCGATGTCCAACACAATGAGGAAGTTAATCGGGACGATGACGAGGAAGATGAAGAAGATGCACATTCCATCATCACTCCATCGAAGCATACCCCCAAGGCAATTCGGGTGCTACGGGGCTCTGTGTCGTCAGGGGGCCCGTTACGGCCTTTTCGTCTGATAAAGCAGGACATACTGAACTTGCGCCGCAGATATGTATCCGACTGGACTGTCTTCAATCAATTGATTTTTGCTAGTGCAGTCTATGTCTTCTTTACGAATCTTTTGCCGGGCATTACCTTCGCCAGCGACCTCTATGTACTCACTGGGCAGAACTGGGGAACTATCGAGGTCGTGTTTAGTACAGGCTTATGCGGCATCATCTTTTCACTGTAGGCCTGTCTGCACTAGGAATCGAGCAACATAGACTGACCACATCCCCCAGCTTCTCCATCCAGCCACTAACTATTCTTGGTGTTACTGGGCCCTTCTCAGTGCTGGCTGAGAATATATATTCGCTATGCGAGGATGTTTTCAAGGTGATATCTCGAGAAAGAAAAAAGAGGTTCTAGCAGTGGCTTACGATTATCCCATAGATACCATTCTTGCCGTTTATGGCCTGGTCTCTGATCCATTCGGCCTGGCTTCACTACGTCCTGGCTATAGTTAACGCTCACGACTGGACGATGCGTTATGTTACCACTTTTGCAACCGAGATCTTCTCGCTTCTCAACAGCATTATCTACTTCCATAAAGCTATCCAAGAGCTCGAAAGAGCACACGAAAGCCTATCATTTGCAGCATTTCTCTACGCTATCATAGGAGCTGTGGGAACGATGCTGCTCGCAATCTTTCTATCCACGGCCGAGAGCTGGCGTCCGCTGTTCCATCGATACATCCGAATGGGCCTGACTGAGTATGCTGCTGCGATTTCCATCATCATCTTCATCGGTCTTCCCCACGTTGGAGAACTAGCCCATTTGGATAAAATGACACTTCCCGTCAGCACCTCGTTCAAACCTACATCTCCTAGTCGTGATAGATTCCTCGTCGAATTCTGGCATCTCCCTGTATCCTGGGTGTTCGCTGCTGTCCTTCCCGGTATTATCATTACCGTGCTCTTTTTCTTCGATCATGAAGTTAGCTCGATCATCTGCACAATTGATCGCTACGGCACCAGAAAACCAGGAGGTTTCGCTTGGGACATAGTCCTCCTAGGCACCACAACAGCATTGTGCGGCATCCTAGGAATTCCTCCTGCCAACGGACTTCTTCCTCAAGCCCCTCTCCACTCGGAGTCTCTAATGCATACAGAAAAGGAGCAGCGCACAATTACAGTTGACGGAGAAGAAAAGATCGAAACATACGAGGTGAAGCGCGTTTACGAACAGCGCTGGTCAGCATTCCTCCACTCAGCCGTCATCTTCCTTTTCATCAGTCCACCATTCATGAAAGTGCTGGGATTGACCCCAACAAGCGTCCTAGCAGGGCTATTCATGTTCATGGGCGAGCAGAGTTTATCTGTCAAGTAAGCCATCATAATCCGCATCAGACCAACAAACGCAACCCAACTAACAGCACCAGCCCAATCCTCTACCGGACCTTCTACCTCTTAACTCCGCCTTCCGAGCTCCCTCCTCTCCCACCATCTCTTGCCACACAGCAACCAATTACCTCCGAAGCGGAACCCCCAACACCATCATACATCCCCATCCACCTCTACACCATCCTCCAGATCGTCATAACCGTAGCCATCTTCATCCTAACCCTCACCCGTGGTGCACCCGCATTCCCCGTGCTCATCGTCTTATTAGTCCCCTTCCGTCTTCTCGTAATGAAGCGCTGGTGGCCCCGCGAGGTCCTGAGGTTCGTAGATGCATGGGCATGCAAAGAGGGGACACCAGAGGATGACGAAGATGCTGAAGCGAAATTGCGCAGTGAGCAGTCGGGAGGGGTTTTTGCTTCGCACGACCAGTCTGGTTCTGATACTGCTGTGACTGAGGATATGCGAACGAGCCAAAGGGTTGAATTAGGTGGGGGTGATCTCGCAGATAGGCGTGGCGATGACGAGACTGGGAATGAGTGGGTTGAGCTGGGGGTTTGGAGTCGTGCTGATGAAGAGTCGGGAGGTCGGTCACAACGCAGGGATAAATGATCGCTACATTGGGGTGCTGAGGGCTATCACGATGAAGTGGCTAGCTAAACATGGGGTGATGTAACTACTATCCGGAATGAAAAATGTCTATAGATCTATAAATATATTATCATTAATATAGACAAGGCCACCGCTTCAAAGCAGGGTATCAATCAATTCATCAATGAACCATTCAATCGATGGTATGCGCCATAAACTCCTCCCCCTTTCAGTAAGAAAGCATAACGAGCAACATCAACCTAGCAATCCACCAAGCACGCCACCTACGCCCTCCACCCCTGCACAAACTCGTGCAACCGATCAATAACAACCCCAAAGATAGCATTAACACTATCACTTATAAGCTGTTCAAAATGCCGAATAGCCTCTTCCTCCGACATCTCCAGATGAAACCTCTCCTTAACCTTCAACACAGCCTTATCTGGCTCGACGCGAATATCAGGAATATTGGCATCAACCATCAGACTGAACAAGTTAAGGATGAGATTCGCCGATTTGCGGAGCGTAGTATACGCCGTGAAGCAATATTGCTTGAACTGGAGATACAAGGGGGAGGTAGTTCCGCCCATGCCCTCGACCATTTCCTTGCAGAGTTTCATCATGGGTGCGAACGGCTTGGGGTCTCGGCCGAGGATGAAGCCGAAGTCGGCGTGGAAGAAGTGACCGTCGGGCGCAAGGAGGAGGTTCTCGAGGTGACGGTCGCCGACGCCGAGGAGGTAGGTGATTACGCAATACCCGGCGCAGGATTTGATGTAGGTGTCCATTGTTTCTTTGCGGACGCCGAGGGGTTCGCTGTCGTCCGGATTGTTGGCTTTGAGGTAGGCGAGGACGGATTTGTATTTGGCGGAGATGGCGGAGAGGGAGGCGGAGGGGATGAATTGGACGGCGCCGGCGGTGGAGTTGGTGGCTAGGATGCGGTAGGGGGTGAGTTTGAGGTCGAGGTTCTCCTTTTGGAGGAGTCGGTCCATTAGGATGATAATTTGGATGACGAGTTGGTCTTGGCGGAGGTCGTCGCCGATTTTGAACAGGATGGGGAATTTTCGTCCGTCGGAGGTCTTGAACATGACTTGTAGAGGGGAGAGGGAGGATTTGAAGACATTTGCTTCGTCGGGGTAGCACCCGGTGACCTGGATTTCTGGGTCCAGGGGCAGTGGCAGTGGAGGGTCGATGTGTAGCATGTCGTTCTTCGGATCCTTGAGACACTGCTTCAATCGTTCGATCTTGAGCACCCGGTTCTCGCGGGAGAACCGGACGTCTTTGGCGATCTTTGTGAGTACAGTGACTAGTTCTCCTTGGCGCAGAAGGGTCTTTCGATGCTCCGGGTGGACTTTCTCGAGCTCTGCCATGAAGTAGTATTCGACGCGTGCGAAGAGTCTACGTTGTGCCGATAATGTTCCTGGTCCTGCATCGTCGCATTCAACCATAAGGTACCAGTGTAGGTAGTTGCCCAATTTGAAGTTGTTCGCAGCGCGGGCGATAAGGAAGTTGGCCAAAGACGAATCGTGAGCGGCATCATCGACATCACCGTGAGAGTGTTCTTCATATTTCAGAGCCTGGACAAGTTGTAGGAGGTAAAGAAGTAGCTCTTCGTCATCAGCCTTGCGTAGTCTTTCAACTGCATAAGAACGAACTGCAGGGTTATCGAAAGTCGGTCCAAGTAACTCAAGAGCATCGTCCACATCGATTTCAGTCCATTTGGGCAGTATCTCGACGGCTTGATGCGCTTCACCAACATCCCTCCAGTTGACCGACTTGACGAACTTAGTCAGCGCCCTCTTTTCACGGGTTAGGTAGTATCGGAATCGCCAGATAAGATCCTTCTCTTCGGCGGTGAGATCCTGGGTGGGCTCATATGACAGGATTACATTGAGCTCATCACGGATCTTGGGGTTTGGTTTCAAATCACGGTCCATGATGCCCGTCCGATGGCTACGGATCAGTCTCCGATGCTTGTCTTCACATGGATTACCGGTTTGACCAACTTCAGGATCGTATATTCTGATGACCCCGCCACCATCCGCGCCCTCTATTCCCGGACCAAAGCGAACTTCCGGTACGGGCTTTAGGGCAGGGTTTGCATTTGCAGGCGCACCTTGGGAGTAGGACGACATTGGAGGCGCTGGGTACTCATGATCGGACCAGACTATGGGATGATCAAAGCGCGGAAACTCGACATAGAGGATGAAATTCTCGTCATCCACTTCGTTGTCATCTGAGTCGTCTTCATCCCCGCCATGCTCCGAGCGCTTCTGTTTCGTAGCCTTCAAACGTAAGGCCCGTTTCCTTGCAGCCTCCTCCGCATTGAGTTTGAGCCTCTCCAGCTGGCGAAAGACTAGTTGGTCCATCCAGTCAATGCGCGGTATTTCCCCCATCTCATGCTTCTTGATCAAAACTTCGATGCGTTCCAGCTCCATCTCCTCTTCCGATGGGCCTAGCGGATCTGGGGCGTGGGTCTTTCGACGTTTCGGAGGTGGCGTTGATGGCGTTGTCGTTGAGGAGAAACCGTCCGCAGCCCGGTGACGATAGATCTTGCATTTCTGCCTGCCCATCTTCAATTTCCCTTCTCCATCAAATAACGGGATAGTAGTCCCGCCAAAAGGTACATAGTGTCCGAGCGCCCCTTCGCCGCCAAACGGCGAAAGATCCCAGACCGTGATGGCCAGTTGGCTTTTGAGAGGAGCATCCTTTATTGATATCGGCATCTGCAGCCACTCATTCCACGCCCGAGCAGACTTGAAGGCTTTGTATGAGGTCTGTAGAGGCACTCCTAAGGCTTTGGAATCCGACCATAGTTGGATAGTGACAAAGAGATCGGAGACGGGAGTCTGCGCGGAACCGATGTGGCGCAATTCTGGATGCCTCATAAGAAGGGAAAAGGGCGCTTGTTTCTGCTTTCCTTCTAACGAGCCACTTCATCCCTAGTTAGCGGAACAGTGCTGGATCATTGTAAGGTCGATGGAAAGCAAAGCTCACATACATCTTCACATGGATTGGGAAATCCACCTGAGTGGAAACGGTAAAGGTAAAGGCCTCCATCGTTAGCTCAGGGCCATTTGTGTCCACCGTATATCAAACCACTGTGCCTTCATTGCAAGTATGAAATGAGGACTGGAACTGGGTTGCCGGGGAAGTGAGCGGCGAGTGACATTGGATGGGGAGCTCCGGCTGGAGACCCAATGGAGCCGCAGCGGCTGATTGGCGGGAGGCCTGGGGCAACAGCCAGCGATGACGCGGGGTCCTACAGGATCACGTGCAGCACGCGTTCAGCGCGCGCTTCGGCGGGTTTGCCTGTGTCTGGCGAACAAGAAAGAAATATTCGGAGAGAAGAATATCACGGGTTGCTATTTGGGACTCGATGAGCCCATAGCTCATGCTGACTCGCAACTCATCTGTTTATGCCTCTATTGCATCCCGGCGATTCTTTGTATCTGTCCTTTGTCTTCCTACCCTTTATCCACTCGACTAAGGCGGCCGCAATCGTGTTCTTTGTCAACCCCTCCTCCCCCCCGTGTGTTGTCGCAGGATATCTGCTCGGCGGCTAGAGATGGCACCTTCTCTTTCCTCTACATATTCGAATCGCCCTGTATCGCAAGGATCGCCATCCGATAAGGAGAATCGCTCAAGTGCAACGGGGATCACTAAGAGAAACCAACCGCAAACGATGGCACACGCCCGTAGAGCTAAGCGAGCTCGACTATCAACAAGAGACTCTAATGTGCAAGCCACTCAGTCTCAAGTAGCATCGCAGGCGACACGGAATAGTGCCAATCAGTTTTACGATCCGGATCAAGACCACCGAGAAAGGCGACAAGTTCGTAAGGGCCTGAGAGATTTGACGCGGGACCTCAACGGTAAGGCCGACTCGAGCTCTTCAACTTGCCGCCGAGTCTGACATAGTTTATGGTAGACTCTAGAAATGAATATCTACAGTCCGGAAACCAGGGCCTGCGGGACACCATAAAGAAAGCGAACGAGATCTTTGAGAATGTCAAGCAGACTTCTGACGCAACCATCGATTCACGGTTGCTTGTTCAAGCGGCAGACCTCTCATACAAAAAGACGGCACAGTTGGTGCTGGGGGACGCCAGTGCAGGAATAGATGTGGACGAGTTTGTCTCGAAGTGTATCTCTTTTATGCGCCGGGCACCTGCGGATTCCCAAGATTCGATGCCTTCCAGCACCCAACGGCGGCGGACGGGTATCGGAAGGACTCAAATGGACCCCAACGACAGCGACGAGGACCAAGGGGATGCAATGAACTGGGACTGGCTCGGACGCGCTGCTTGTTTCTGTAGTAATGCCCGACCATCAGTTCCTGGCTTCCTACTGGGACCGCTTTCGGTACAGAAGCGCGTCAGACAGCAACCCGTACGAAGAGCCCGTGAACGAATTGACCCAGCACGGGCCGTTGCACCGCAAGAGCTTCAGGAAAAGGACCTGGACAGGCAAGAAACATCGAATTTGACTACTATGTGTGCCAGCATCAATCGGCTTTTGGCAAGAACCCAAAACAATGGACAAGACGTGGTAGAGGCAGAATTGTCGCAGTTATCCGAGGAGCCCGACGAAGATACGGTGCAAGAGGTGATGGCGAGGAACAATGTAGCCGATGATGGAGGTGTTCCTCTGTTCCAATTCTGCATCAATCCAAACTCTTTCGGACAAAGTGTAGAGAATCTATTCTACGTTAGCTTTTTGGTCCGGGATGGCTTGGTTGGAATCGCAGTGGATAGCCGGGGCCTGCCCACTTTGCGTAAGTCCTATTCAGTACCCTCGATGATGTGGGCATCTAATTGACCATCCTCAACCAGATTCTGCAAAGCCTCATGCGCCTAGTGAAGCCCAGAGATTGGGCATCAAGAAGCGTCAGGCCATTTTCACACTTGACTTTGAGACTTGGCAAGAATTGGTCCAAGTCTATGACATCAAGGACCCCATCATTCCTCATCGGGAGGAAGAGACGCAAAATACAGCACAATCCTGGCAAGGATAAGAGGAAATGATTTGAATGCGTTCTGAGAAGTGCGTTGTGTATTGATTATTTTGTGGTAGTGCTTTGATCATGCGCCTGTGGATATCGTGATACCCATTTTGAGTTACCGGTGTTGGTATGCATTTTGAGAATGAATTTTTGTCACGGCGTATGGGTGTCTTCAATGAATTAAATACATGGCATGGTCCACAAATGCAGAATCGCAGAGCTTGTCCCCAAGGTTTTGCATCCAGCAGAGGGATAAACAATGGTCCCTGGTGGGCAACTAGTGCTGCTGGCCAGATCGTCATTGGTTCCAGGACAACCTCCCAACTTAATCTCCAATTGCAAACCCCACCCAGCTGAGTCCCTGACAATTGGCATGTGGTTGACAGCTTATGTGGAGAAGTAAATAGGATTAATGGTCCGACCTGCCTCGAGGACTGGCAGGTTAGAGTTAGATACTCATTATACGAAAGTAGAGAAGCTTAGCAGCTTCCGGAAATATTCACCAGGCACGTAACACCGATCGCTCCTGCTGGTTGCGGGAACACAAGAGGACGGGCCTGGGTGCCTTACGTCATAGGCTCTGAGCCCGAGTGAATTCCCCAGGCAGAGCTGCTCGTCCCCGATCGATCGCGACCTTATCTTCTTTTGTACACACTTTCACATCACTAGACTCTCGTGGTCTTCCACCCGTCAGCAGCTTGGTTTCACCAAATCGCTGCTCCGCCGCACAACATTCATCATGGCGCCCCAGCTCTTCCCGGCGAATCCTTCAGAGGTCATGGTGATCCGCAATGTGACTTCCAATGTCATCACCTTAAGTTTGCCATTTGCGCGTTTCGGTCGGCTCAAGTTTGGTGGACGTGGTACACTTGGTTCGCACTTCATTCCTTATTCTTCTACTCAGGCTCACGCTCCCTTGGTATCATTGTGATTCTACTGTGAGCATCACTTACATTCTCATGCTAACGGTATCACAACGTTGGTGAAAATAGTTAAAATGGAAACGGGTTCTGTCGCTGTCTTCTCTCCTGTTAATCTGACCCCAGAAGTGCGCGATACCATCACCGGTCTCGGTGGCAATGTCAAATACATTGCGGCTCTGGATATGGAGCATCATATTCACTTGACCGCGTGGAAAGAGGCATTTCCTGACGCTGCAATTATCGCTCCCGAAGGGCTCTGGGAAAAGCGCCAGTCGAACCCCAAAACTAAGGACTCTGCACCTTTCGAACATGTTTTCCGAAAGGATGCCAATGGACAGCAGAAGATTTCAGAAGAATTTGACGCGGAATTTGAAACGGAATATGTGCATGGCCACCCTTCGCGCGAACTTGTCTTCTACCATCGCCCATCCCGCACACTTATCGAGGCGGATCTTTTGTTCAACTTGCCTGCCAGAGAGCAGTATTCTAGGACCCAAGAGAGCGCCACGTCGGGCATTTTTACCAAGATGGTGTCTCCATTGATGTCCGCTTCTTCACCTGCGACTTGGCAGAAGAGATTTGCCTGGTATATCCTGTCTAGTGGAGATCGGCAGGCATTCACAGAGTCCATTCGCAGAATCGACAAGTGGGATTTCAATCGCCTGATTCCTTGCCATGGGGACGTGGTCGAGAGCGGCGCGAAGGGGGTTTTCCGCACCGTCATGGAATGGTTTCTTGCTGATCGGAAGCATGTGTAGTACGACAGATGATTTCCCAGTCTAATGCGTTAATGTCTTATCTCCTGGATTCCCTTGCCTGTTGGTCTCCCGTCTTATTTTCTTTCGAGGGACGCGACTTGAGATATCTTGAGGACGACAGCTTGCTATCTCGTGGTGTTCTTTAACGCCCTACTTTCAATGTATCAATAGCATTATATGAATGTAATTATGAGAACGAGCTGCGCTGTGCCTCTTATTTAGAGCAGGTATCGTGCGCTCTTCGGAGGGCACCCCCTGTATTTACGTAGCTCTTGTGCGCTCCCTTACATCGGGGTGAAAGTCAGCAACGGCAGTGATTGGCGGCCATTCAAGCAAAACTGTATCTTGATGCCTGAGGATGCTCACCGCTGATTTCACCACCTTCTAAAGAGAAACTAGGTGATGCTTTTCATTGCTCTATATACAGTACTTCCAAGTCTATACAGAAAGCACCACACTTCACAAACTCGTCAAAACACCGGCGAAGAAACATTTCTGGAAATCTCCAAGATACTGGGAAGCTCCTCAGCTGGAGTCCGTCCCATACCGCACTCGGTCGCCACTCCAAAATCAGACACCACTGACTTGGCCGTCTGGATCCTCCGGCGGGTGCCCTCCTCATCGTGGGCATGCACGACCCCCAAATACAACCGGGCATGTTGGCTCAGCTCCAGCTTCTTCAGGGGTTCAAAGTAGGCGATATCATCTCGGTCTTTGGGCACAGGCATATGCACCCAAGTGATCGGGCGAGGATGAATACGCTTGTGAATATTATTGGCCAGATCGACCAGGAGACTGAGATCCTCCGGCTCGACAAAATGCTTGTGCCCCAGGTCCCCGTAGCACAAGTGAAAACCGAGCGGGATCTCAGCGGGGATGATATTGATGTTGCTGACACGCTGAATACGCTCCAGAACCCCCTCCATTACTGGAGAGAAATGAGGCTTGAAGAAGGGATCCGTGAGCCGGCCGCGCTCATTCTCAAGCGCCGTGACCTCGAAGCAGACGTCCCACTGGAGGGCGAGGTCATGGGCAGGAATGTTCTGGATGATAGACTGGACCGATTCAATCATGCGCTGCTCGTACAAGGGGTCCAGCTGAGCATGGAACTTTGCTCTCGTATGACCCTGCACGCAGTTGAGTGGTAGAGGGAGCGAGACCTGGAATCGGACCCCGGATGGGATGACCTTTTGCTCCCGGAGCTTTAGGAAGGTTTGATAGGATTCGAACGCAACTGTGTCATACCGGGTCGGCTTAATGTCATCCAGGGTGAAACCGGGATGGTCGGCGGGCACGTCGGTTCCTCCCAGGAACTGATGGATGGTCTCCTTGGGGAAACAATCGACCTGCCATCGGATATAGTTGTCGCGAATGCCCGTCTCGCCGTCTGGAATGGCGAATAGTCGTCCTGGCAGCGCGGCAGGAATCTTGTTGAAGACCTCTTCCGCCGAAGAGAGAGGGATACTGCCTAGCAGAAGGACACCGGATGGCATTGAGCTTTCACCGGACATATTGAAGGGCGTCGGGTTGGGATGGGATCGCTAAGAAATCTGCCAGAAAAAAAAGAGATGTGATTTTTGAGGGACGGAGGGAGCATGGGACGCAGGCAGGGTGACAGGGAATAAGTAGACAGACAGCCTCCTGTTTCTGTCATTGTGCCACCAGGATGTTCCGCTTCTCGCCGATACCGTCTCCTCTAGTTTGCCTTTCCCACTAACATCCTGGATCGGTCTTGAGCGATTCTTTGTCTGATGTGATGGGAGGGGGAATTGGCCGCAGATATCTCCACTTCCAGTGGGGAATAGACAAGGGCCGAACCATGATCCATGCGGCGCCGACAGGCACCAAAAGCTGCACGTCGACGATCACTATGGCCATCAGATGGACAGTATTGGCTGGATTAGAATGAGGGCGGCCTAACAGCTCAGTCATACAGTCTTCCCTGTCTGGAGGCTGTGTTTGTAGTGAGGAGACTGGTCACTAATCCCACGATTGCGGCGTTTCCCCTCTTGCGGCTATGCTTCCCGTCAATGGCAGTAGTATATGCTCTAGCCCCCCCCCCCCCCCCCCCCCCCCCCCCCCCCCCCCCCCCCCCCCCCCCCCCCCCCCAGCAGCTAGAAGGCCGCGGCCGACCTTCCTCCACGCATTTCCTCTATTCGTTTCCCCTCATCGCACTCAATGGCGAACTCATATTTTCGCTTTGTACCGGCAGCCTGACGCCCCAGCAAATTGGCTATTATCAGGCTCATGGCAGTGATGACTCGAGACAATGAGCTAACAACTAATGTTGGTGGGTTCTTCTTCGCTTTAGCTGCGGTCCTGGCCTGAGTGTTGTCCAGAAAATAGTATCGCTCGCGGGCTCCGATCGGATGAAATTATTGGACCTGGCACTTTCGTTCGAGAATAGCGAGGGCCGACACATAATTTCCGTCGAGCACCAAGGAAATCGTCCAGGTATGGCAGCCATATTGTTCTTATCCTCTCGCAAATAGCTAATCTTCTTTGATCTGGCTGGGGCAAACTTACATCGTCGCCTGTGTCTGCTACTCGTTCACATCATGGTCATCAAGACATCGGTACTTCTCTACTACCGTCAGATATTTTCCATTCGATGGCTCCAGATCATCTCTCGTGTCATTGGAGTCGCGGTATTCATATAATCTAACCTGACGTTCGTCGCCTTGTTGCAGTGCATCCCGCTCTCCTGTCTCTGGACAGGGAAGCCTGGACAATGTATCGATGCGACTTCCCGTTCACCACTCTAGCGTGAGTACATAGCCAAGAGTTGCCAGTTGCCCACCCTCGATTTCGATCCACCCTAAGACAGTGAATGCTCTCACCGACGTCGCCAGCTTGGCTATACCTGTAAAGCCGGTTCTCAACCCAGATATGAAAGCAGCCCGCAAGATCTATGTCCTCAGTATGTTTCTGCTCGGTGGGATGTAATGTTATCTTTTGTCGTGTTGAATTCTGAGAGCCATTGAGAAGCAGACTTAGCCAAATTGAAGCATTCTGTTGACATGATCGACATGGACATTGCTGGTAACCGTGGTCGACAAAACGGATCGAGGAACCTCGAGCTCATGTCACTCTGCCTAAGGACGCCACGTTGCAGTGGGTTTTCATGTTATTGCTCCCTCCTACCTTTGGATGACTTGTCCATTCTTCCATTTGTTGTTAACTCCCTTGCGCTGTATCACCATCCACGGTCACTGGGGGCTAAGCAAACATGAATGTCTTTCAGACCTGACAGTGAATCAATCGCTCAGAACAATAACTAGCACTCTATTACTACAAATAGGCTACTCAGACATGGCACTGTTACGTTTCTATGATCGCTGTAATATTCCCTGATTCCTCGAGATATAACAGGCGGGTTCTTTCTCTCCGAAGTTGGTCATCCTTACATGAATAACTTTGACAGCATTCAACAGTCATATCTATTTTGATTGATCTTTTGTTGAACACATCTGCTATACTCCATAGTTACCCCATTCGATGTGCCCTTGGCTAGGAAGGGAAACCCCCCTTGCCTTCCAGGCGTTCGTTTCTTAGCAATGAATGCTATGAAGACATTAGAGTAGCGGTGTCTGGCCATGAAAATACTTGTGCTTCCGTTACGAAAAGATTCACCATAACGGTCTGTCCGTGAGGGTTACCAGATATGTTAATGGTGGCTTCCACAGCAGCCTTCTCACTAGTTCCTGGTACAGTAAATAGAGGCGGTCCTAGTCGTCCGCATTCATCTGATACTGTATGTTTTATAACCTGAAACAGTCAGCCTCTAGTGTAACAGGCATTCGATTTAGAAGATTTCTTTTTCTTGCAGATTAGGCTATCGGATTTTGTACCATATTTTCCAGAGCAGTCGATAATATAATAGTTCTCACTGTTAAAATAGGACAGGGAGCTTCGGAGAGAGTCTGAGATGTAATGGTAGTCCGAAATATATGCCAAAGGGATATTCTTCTGAGTCAGGTATACCAGGAGGGCTGTCTGTTTCAAGAAGTTGCTCATAAAAAGTCAGTATAGTTACTGAATTCGGGGAAACTTTATATACTATCATTAATACAGGATGAGACAAGCAATTGCTTAATACTATATCATTCAGACTAGCTATTAGCTAAGCTATATACAAGATAGAAAATAAGATTTGATATCAAGCTATAGTTGGACGCGATTTAAGGAACAGGCAAGAAGTCATGTGTGAGGCGGTCAGCTCTCTAGGCAGTATCCCTTTAAAGCCAAAGCCAAAGCCCAAGCCCGTGGAAAGATTCTCCGGCGTTGACCCCTTGGTTGCCGTAAGCTTAAGGTTTCCACGCGCTAAACTCTACCATCGTAAACGGGTTAGGTTAGTAAGGCCTTGAGCTTCGGGGTCAGTCCGATTTACAGGATCCGTGAGCACCGCGGAACCCCTAGTTAGTGGGAACTCGGAAGATATTACCAATAAAAGAAGCCTAGAAGATTGAGAAATTCTCCGTCGTCAGATTTTGCTGCCAGTAAGTTGACTACTCAAGTAGCAAGTAGATAGATCAGGCAACACCCACCACTGGCGGAGAAGGGCACGAACACCGGCCAGGCCATGGAATCCCCGACTGCTGTCAGTCAAGACGATCGGAATGTGAAAAATGACGTAGGTGTGTAAACAGCCAAGTACACGGCCAAGATTATAGTGACAAAGAAGACTATGCTAGTATCTACAAATTAATGGCTTTCACTACGTTGTGCCTACTGGTTCCTGTACAACAACAACAACCTTTACTGGCAGCGCCACATAAACGACGTGTTCTAGGCTGCCACGCATCTCCCCTGACGTCACAGCCGGTGTTCCAGCTCTGGTGCTTTGTCTGCGTGTTTACTTTTGGAGTCGTTTCCTTCCCCCCTTTTTCCATTTCCCTTCCATGGGTGACTGATCCGATTATTCAGTCTTGGGTCACCCGGTCGGCGATGGGTAGTCGGATGGACTGACTCCAGCAAAGTACTCCATCCACAGGGCGGGAGAAACATGGGTCACTCACACACCCACTAGGAAAAAAGAAGGGACTGGCAACGATCCCCTAAACCGGAGGGGGTAAAGTCGGGGCGCTATTGAAGTTAGCGGGTGGATGTGCGGTGGAGAGGAACAATAGCCTAGTGCTGGGGACCAGTGGAGAGCAATACTTGGTAGCTACGATTTTCAAGCAGTTTTATTTTATTTTTTCTCAAGCGAGTGGTTCAGCCTTAAAGTAGGCTGCTCTGCAGATTATACAATGAGATGTACAGTATGTGGCTGAGTGAGGCGTGGTTCGTTTGTATGTGGAACCTATTTCATGGCTGCCTATAAGTTGGACCATAGAATGATAACTTCGTACCTGGAGCTGCGGACGCGGCGCAAACACAGCCCATTGTAGCATTGTGACGCCCTCACCCGATCCCAAAAGAACCACTAATTAATTTAGTTTCTTCACACCGAATTGACAAGAAAAATCTACTTTGTAAAACCTTCCCGCCCTATCCCCATCCACTTCTCGCCAGCGGGTCGATCAGTTACCCAGCCTGGTTGAGGAGAATGTTGCGCACTGGACGTTGGGCAGGACGCAAGATTGCCGGCTGGCCAATCGTAGTGCCAAAAGCGATGTCATGTCACTGGCAGACCCGGTGATCAGAACAGACTAGAATTACCAGAAAAGAGTCGATGAGCAAGGGAAATTTATTTCCCCCCTCTAGTCCTTCTTGGTCTTGCCTCGCCCATGAAAATTCGTGTCGCGGATCATCGGCTTTTCTGAGAAGCTTGATCGTCATTTCGATTATTTAAATCACACCTCCACCTCATCTTCTTTTCTCTCGTCGCTTCTTGCTGGTTATCCTACGGTTTACTTCTCGTCCCTAGTACTCTAGTGACGCTAGTTGTTTACTTCGTGCTTGCTCCGACAGCTCCTACATCATACTATTGGCGACCCTGCATTTGCATCGACTCCACCTCACCTAATCACCAACATGCCTGTTATCTCCCGACTAATCTCGATTGTCTTCCGCGTCGCGCAAATTGTTTGCGGTGCGGTATGTATTTCAATATGATCAATATAGATTATTCTACTGTGTCTCTATTATACGCTAACGTATGGACTTGAATAGGTCGTCGCCGGTATCATTGGTCACTACCTTGCCCAATACAGCGGTGACGCATGGCCTGAAGCCCGCTGGATCTACACCGAAGTCGTCGCCGGGTTATCAATCCTCCTTGGCCTGATATGGCTCATACCATTTTCCTCTGGATTTTTTTCCTGGCCATGTACGTTGTCGCATTTCCCCCCTCTACTCCTCCGCAATTGCTGACTCGGCCCCCTGTCCCGCAGTTGACGTCATCATCTCCCTTGCATGGTTTGCCGCATTCGGTATCCTTGTCAACGCCATTCACAAGTTGAGCTGCGGCAGTATCTGGCACTGGGGTGGTCTCTACCGCAACAATACTTGCAGTCGCTGGAAGGCCGCTGAAGCGTTCAGCTTCATCTCGGCTATTGTCTGGCTTGCCTCGGCGCTTGTGGTATGTTCTCATAACCCCCTGCTGGCTATTGATGCATACTGACGATCGTGATACAGGGTCTTTGGTTCACTTTCCGTGTTAGGAAGGAAAGCACTGCCCCTACCTAGTAAGTCACACCATCACCGTCTCTGTGAGAACCTCGACACTAATAAGTTCGCATCAGTGGTCGCCGTCGCTTCTTCGGTCGCTCCGCCGTGTAAACATTGAAAAAATTCTCGATGTTTATTACCTGGTCCATTGCACCTTGGACAACGAATGCTTCATTAAACCGAGTCTCGGAGATGCCACGCATGTATTTTGCGACAGGCAGACTTTGCGACTCTAACGCTCTTTTCACGTGAAACGTTAATTAATGCTTCTAATACATGATTGCCGCCAACACTAATACTGCTCGAGATTTTGCTTCTATGTGTGGTGGAGGTTCTGAGGAGATGAGATGATACCATGATTTCTGCATTGCTTATAATACCCACCTATAGCTATTTGAGCTGGTTGCTTTTAGAGGTACTAAGGCGTCCATTCGTTACTATACCCACACTGATAAATGCCAAATTTGAGTGCTAAAGCAAGACATTTGATGTTCAGCACGCGCATTTAGATATCTTACTTTACCTATATTATAATGCAAGAGATGAATCATCTAATCAATGCGCTACAAGTCTTTCATGACAAGAGAAATCTCGTGAAATTACATGCATACATCAGGTGAACAAGTAATAACATCCTTGCAGACTCGTCCTTGGCCGCCCCTTCTTTTCTGTTGTCAGTCATGAAAGAGTACTCCTACCATGATCCAGTCGAACTTCCTCCGATGCAGTCACCACTAAGAGCAAAAACCTCCAGATCTTTTCGGAATTCGAGTTGCGCTACCAATAGTGGTGCAGTTACCGGTATTAAGATCCCCCGCCACCGCCTCCTGCATGATGCATCATCAGACTAGTCCTCAAATGAAGACAAGAAAGAACTTACCGCATCCTGAGCTCCCTCCTCCTCCCCCTCCACCACATCCTCCGGCACCACCACATCCTCCTGCACCACCACCGCACCCTGCAGAAGCCCCACAAGCAGATGCATTCCCGCAAGAGAGACAATTCCCACCCGCGATAGAAGAACCGCACGTCCCTGAAATACAATTCCATTGCCCATTAAGCGAACCATCCATACTGTGGGGATGGTTAGGAAATAGCTGGCCAAGTAGGTCTACGACATGGTCGATGACATCGAAGACATCCTTAATGTTTTGGACATGATCTTTTCTCTCAGGGTTGACCTCATCTTCATCGTACGACGTACTTATCTTGTCCTGTGATATAACTGTGTCCGTGGGCGGACTAGTTGGCAAAACAACAGAATTGACGGCTGCAATGGCAGATACAAGCGCCTTGGAAGAACGGGAATGCTTCTTAGCTCGCCTGAGGGACTTTCTGTAAGCTTCTAGAAGCTGCAAGGCTCTGGTTTCTCTCTTGATTCGGTCGACCTCAGATATCTTCTGAGGGCGGACAGCACTGTGAACGGAGATGTGCGGTCCATTGTCAGACTTAGAGGCATGATCATGCTGTCTGCGCAACTCATCAACAGCTTTGCGAGCATCGGAAAGCCACAATAGAGATGAGCGGAAATGACCGTAGAGATCGGGGTAGCGGACCGCCTCGCAGAACCAACAAACGCATTCGCTATAGATCTCCCCATCGGTAACCTCACGATATGCTTTGCAAGTCCATTCGAACCCAATGGTCAGGTCTACCTCATCAACCTTGTCATTGTGATCCATGAACCGCAATGGGCTACTGGCTAAGCCCACACTACAGTTATAGTATTGCATGGGAGAAAGCTGATGTGTGTGCCATGCTAAATCCACATCTAATGTTGGTACGGCCATTTGCTTGGGGTTATCAGCCATGATCCCAAAGAAGACACTGTACTTCTTGATTGATCGGCTGATGGTGGCTTGGAGAGTCGGGGACCTAAACCAGTTTGTACGGTCCATTTGCTGAATAAACTTGCCTTGTCTGATGACAGCGCCGAGCAAGTCCAGGGAAAATGGACCGAAATTATCCCAGTATCGAGAAATCATCCGACGGATGCATATTTTCTCAGTCCGAACGGGTCGAACCTTCGAGATTATTGAGTCGTGTGCCTGCTGCAGGACTCTGCGTTCTTGGAGTCTTTTATTTAAGTAATTGCGCACGGCGGCAATATTGTGGCATTTATTGGTCTTAGGATTGGTATACTCCAGTATATCGTTTGCCACAACCCGGATAAGCTGGCTTGGATATAGAAATGCCGCGTCTTTCCAACTCTGCGACACTGGGAATGGGACGCCACGTAAGTTATAGAAGCACCCGGGCATAGGCCGATTCTGTTCCAGCAGTGACCGCACATCTTGACGCCACTTTGCCAGCTTCAGCCGGTCATGGTCAATCTGGTATTGACAATTGTGGCAGGTAGCACGGAAGCCTTTGTCAGCTAAGCCTGTAAAATCCTCAAAGGGAAGCTTGACATCTGCCAAGTCTTGGCCCATTGTCCATTCGACAACGATCTGGATGCCGCAGTTTGGACACGGAACAGTGGTAGTGGGCGGATCAAACAAGTTATCCCAACTAGAATTGATATGAGTCTCAAAATACCGACGCGCTTCCCCAGTTGTTGTGTATTCAAACGTGGTGCCATCGATTTGACGATCAACAAGCTCCCAGGGGAAACGTGCACCCCAAACACACATCTTGCCATACCGGATGCAGTCCTCGAGATACTTGCGTGGGTTCAGCATATGCGAGTGCCACACCATAAGCACATCTACACCACGTCTCACATTAGCAAGCAGAGCTTCCTGATAATGAAATAAGAGTCACGTACCCAGAGGTGGAAGGACATCTTCGTGCCACTGCACTATTTTCTTAGGCTTAACGACTTTGGCATATGCATCCTTGCGGATATCTGCCATTGTGGGGAGCGGCTTCTGGCTAGGGAGACATCGGAACCACCAATCTGTGTATCGTTTCACAGCCCGTGAAACATATACAGCCCAGCGCTTCTCTCTGACTAAGTCTTGATAATTGTCTCGAGCAACATTCTCTCGATGTTCGCCTTGGTCGTAAAGCCCGAAGAGTCCGTCATTGTTGCTGATTACATCTCGCAACTCGGCAAATGCTGAGAGAAGCTTAAGATGAGTGACACACTGCTTCGGCGTGATAAATGTTGGCACTGGAGAGGGCGACGTCGGCACGTCGCTCAATATAAAAGAAGTCATGCTTGAAACTGCGGGTTTGATTACTTCTCTGTCCTTCGGAGTTGCCGCTCCCCAGGGTCGCTTACATATGAAGTCTGGGAATAGAATATATACCCCAGATCAAGGGAGCAAGGCTGCGACAGGCGCATACATACGAGGCTGTGAGGCTGGGTTGTGCTTAGCCGTGGTCAGGTGTCCGATGACCGCGGCCACTGACCACAGTAAGACGCTCAGATTGCCACACTCGTATTGAGGCGATCATTCTGAAAACCATAATACTACGAACTGTTGTAGAGAATCCACGAAAAGCCAAGGTATGTAAAGGGAGGAAATAACAACAATATAGAAAAAGCATGATGGTTGAACTCTGCGACAAAATATTCTGTATTCTGCAGCTGTCTATCTCAAAGGGTTACAGAAACTTTATCTTGCTATACTGGCAAATAAGCAGGCTAGACGACTCGAGGAAACTCGATATTGATTGTTATATGATTGAGTGCCTCCTTTGCAAGGCTGCGAGAAGTAGAAGGCTAGTGCAAGTTGAAGCGAAGATTCCCTTCGTAATGGCTTTCATTAGCGATTGGCTCATTCGAACACGTGAGAAGGTTCTAATACTAACTACGTACTTAGCTATACCGATTTCTCTCTTTCTATCGACAGGGGCATGTGATATATGATTCTCCAATGAATGAGCTGAATAGGGAACAATAGGGGCGGGCGAGGCTGCAGGGGGAATATTTTCGGCGATTGGACTTCCTGGCATACTTGAATGGTAATGGTTGTCTCTTATTGACGGCTTCCAGGTAGGTTATAGTTCTTTTGGTATTACTCTTAAAGATCAATACTCGTGGGACCAAAGGTTCTATACTAAATGTCTTGGTTTTACCGGATTCAGTCCATGATGACTAACTGGTGAGCTTCCGAAGCAACCGTTCGTTCATTCTTTGAATTGGATCGAATTCTCCCGCGGTTCTTTCTCCCAGTACCCATGGAGAAACAATGCGCCCGGAGCACCCTTCAAGAAGCAGGTCAAGATCGCCATCTTCCTCCTTTGGAAAGACATCCCACGACTACCCGTTGGCAGTCTTTGATCCGAATGAGAATGACTCCGAAAGCAGCCAGTTCATAACGGTTGGGCGGGAAAGTACCGACTCCGCCCGGCCCGATCGGCGAGAGACCACAAATGAGCCTTTATTGCCAACTTCAACTCATCATCCCCGTCGCATAGCGGCGGCGAGGCCATTTACATGTACGCTTTCTGGGATTCGCGCGTGGATTAAAGGCCCGCCACATCCACACCGGTATCAGATCACTCCATGGTTGCAGCGCTGGCAGACGGCACCGGGCCGCCTTGTGGAGCGTTATTTTCCGAGCACTCGTGCCAAAGTTTGGCTTTTGTTGGCCTGCATATGCACCTGGGGTGTCATATTTCTCTCCATCCTGCATTCTTCTGTAGCTGGCCAGCAGGTATCCGGATACGGAGTGCCTGTCAAGCTATCGTGTAACGCTAGACTATGGTATGTGACCTGCTCTCTTGCGGTTCCAAACTGTTCTCAAAATTAATCTCTTTATGCAGGCCAAACTCGACCGACTGCGGTCTGAATGGTGACTCCTGTCGCCCTTTTGACAACGGGGCATTTGCCTTTCGCTGTCCCGCAAGTTGCGCAGATGCGATGCTGCTAGAGCCGTATTTTGTAGGCCCCGAGGAGTACAACTATCGTCCTCTTGTTATCGGGGGCACTGCAGAAGATGATAGTACTGAGGGTATCTACCGCGGAGACTCAGCCATCTGTCCTGCGGCACTACACGCTGGTCTAATCGACAGCCAGAAAGGTGGTTGTGGCGTCCTGCGTCGAACGGGTGAAAGAACCAATTTTCCATCAGTGGCAAGTAACGGCATCGAGAGCATTGGATACGCTTCGTACTTCCCACTCTCCTTCAGCTTTAGCGGAGAGCCATCTGAAACAAGCTGCCAGGACCTCCGCTGGCCACTTTTCACCTTCTCAGTCGTTGTCACAACCCTGCTATCCCTATTCATCACGTCTCCCGCGGCATTCTATGCCTCGATCTACTTCATCGTCTACTTTCAGGTCGCTCTCTCCTCCGACCCGCCTTACTCCCCAGACTACTATGAAGTCGTATCCACAGCCCTAGGCCGCTTCCTCCCCTGCGCCTTCGTCGGGTTTGCAATTTACTACTTTTGCGTCCGCAAAACCCTAACAGACCTCACCGCACACTGGGACAAGACTGTTCTCTGGCTCGGCAGCTGCTGGGTCGGTGCCCTCAACACCGACACATTCGATAAAATTCCCATCTCACGCCTCACACCTCACGACATCCAACAACAACCAGGCGCCATCCCCGCCTTAATCATCATCATTGTCCTCCTCGTCGCCATTGTTCTCACACAAGCCATCGCTTTCCGCAGAGAAGGCCGCATGCCCAAAATGCTTCTCCTTTATGGAATCATGGCCTGCGGCGTGATCGCCCTCATGCTCGTCCCGCACATGAACCTTCGCATTCATCACTACGTCCTCAGCCTCCTCTTCTTACCGGGGACAACACTCCAAACGCGCCCCAGTCTCCTATACCAAGGCCTCCTGGTAGGACTGTTCATCAACGGCATCGCCCGCTGGGGCTTCGATAGCATTCTGCAGACGTCTGCTGCATTGCTTGACGGCGCGCAGCTGGGCAGCGTCCTGCCTGTCATTGGGGCTCCTGTTATGATGTCACGTCAGAACATCATGTTCAATTTCAATGATGTAGACAAAGATGCAGATGGGATTAGCGTGCTCGTTAACGATGTTGAACGGTTTCGGGCGTTCAAGTCTGATGATGGGATGTTGGAGTCGTTTAACTGGACCCGCCATTTGGATGGTGAGCCGGAGTATTTCCGGTTTGGGTATATCAAAGTTAATGCGTTGGGAGGAATTTGGTATGAGGATTTTACGAGGCCGGGGACTTGGGAAGCTGAGGGGGAGTGGATTCCTCCTGACTCTGATTCTCGGTCGTCTACGGAATCTTTCTAGTTGAATACTATTTAGGTGGATATATTGGTGGGATAAGCATATATGGATTTGGTATAGAGATGAATCCAGACAATTGGACTATATAGAAAAGCAAAGATATCTTGGTAACCATGAGATGAATTAGAGTATAGTACAGTGTACATCATATGGAAGAAAGATATACCTCTATGGATGGTTACACCTGACCTGGATGATGTTCTGTTCTCTAAAGGGGTGATCATAATTATGGTGAACTTTCTGCCAGCAACACAGCCGGTATCAATGCCCTTGGTTAAGGTATCGATGCTGAGCACTGTTTCGGACATATGGCCGTAGATCGAATTGGAGCGACAAATCGAGCATTTTATGTGCATTATCCTTACTCAGCATGCAATACCGAGCAAATACCAAGCTGCATAAATATTGGTCACGTGCTATCCGCGTCGACCATAAAAACGCGCTGTTCCGCGAAGCAACACACCACATGTAATATCTAGAAGATAGGTCGCGTCTCGCAACCTTTGCAGTATTCATAGCTGAATTTCTTACTTCTATGAATAGCGCTTTCTAATCTCAATGACGATAACCACACACAAGAGCTTTCTCATGACACCCTTACGATTCAAATCAGGCAGTGGACTTCATCCTTCGGGGAACCGAATGGAAGAAGACATCTGACCAAGCGTGGATGATTGAGACTGAACAGAGATCTAAGAGATTACTAAAGTTGCTCATCTTGTTTGGATGATTCCTTTTTCTTCCTTCAATAAGTACTTATGACAGGGCCTTATCCTTTAATGTTCGGGTATAGCCTTGGTTTGCTCAACTCACTTTTTTCATTTTCATATTACTGACCACATACACTTCTTCTTCTGATCTTATTCTTTTGTATTTCCCACACTGATCAGCTCTATTACTTTTGCACAACCACAATGCCCCTCTGCCTGTTCTGTGCCAACGCGCCAATGATGATAAAGAAATCTAGCACTTTACTCCGAGACTCTCATATTGCTCCATCTGTTTCTGACAAAGATAACGATGTCGAGCACGTCAGTGAAGAGTGATGTATAAACGGTAGTTTTCAATCTGATGGCAGTCTTACCCTTCCCCCCTTTATCACCTCGCCCTTTTCTTCCATGTCAAGTAAGTACAACGTGTCGTACCAGACTAACCTTAACATTGCTCAATGTTTTCAAATCAGTTATATGTCTACTAATCACAACCTCATGTCGACTGCATTGAGATTATGCTACTATTCATTAATGATATGGATGTTGCGTTATGTTATGATGAACTGGTTCATGTGAATGCATACCCAATACAGCTAATGACGGAAGACAAACATACACGGGTATTGAAGTCAATGATATGGACAAGAGATGGAGCAAGCAAGCAAGCAGACAGCCCAGTGACGAATCATGAATCAAAAGCCAAATTTGCATGGTATCCGGCATGACGAGTGCATTCTCGCACAAGTCCCTACCATTATCTGCCTGGAAACCGGTGAGAACCTGAGAGCTAATCTGAGGGCTGTCTTGCTTCTGCTTTATTCTTGGTCATCGGAGGAATATGGGCGGTTATCTTGTGGTAACCTGAACCTAGGATAGTATTGATGGCTTGCGTGAATCTCTACCTAGTGCATGAAAAATAAGGTCTATAACTTTTATCACAATTATGTACAGACTCAGACTCTAGTCTATTTCACACAGCACCACAACCAAATCTATAATCCAACCCAACCTCAAAGCGCCGCCGGCAAAATCGTATAATTAGCCGTAATATTCATCGCCGCGGCATACATGCACCTATAATCCCCACAAAAGGCATGAAAAACAATCCTAGACCCATCAACCGAAGCCGTCGCACCGCCAGGAGACTTTAGCCCAAAGTCCCCAGACCGAAACAAGGGCCTCTCAGCCCTGGTATACGGCCCCTTTAACGATGTCGACCATGCATACTTAACACTATACTTCGATGATGTAAAGCAATGCGAAGAGAAGAACAGATAATAGATGCCGCGATCAGTTCGAATAATGTCCGGAGCCTCGACTAACGGCCCATCGACTTTTTCGTTGGTTAGAATTTTAACGGGGTCACCGACGGGGGTGACTCCATCGTCTTTGAGTTGTTGGAGCATGATGGGCGTGGAAACGATGGGTTTCTTGCCGTTGTTGCAGCCTCCGCCGTGGCCGATGCTGTTGCCGTCGACTTTGTACACGACGTAAAGGGTCCCGTTGACGTCTCTGAAGGGGGCGGGGTCGATGGCACCGCCGTGGTCGCGAGGACAGGCGAGGGTGGTGTTGTGGGGGATGTACGGTCCTAGGGGACTTGTGCCGTTGGAGACAGCGGCGCCGACGCAGTGGTGGCGGAGCCAGTCTTTTAGCTCGCCTGAGTAGTAGAGGACGAAGTGGCCGTCTTTCTATAAGGATACTTAGTTGAATTGGTTATGCTTGATGGTTGGGCTAGTACTTACGCGTTGAATCACGTCCGGAGCGTACTGGTTCATATTCGTTTCCCAACTGCTAATTGCAGGCATGACATCGTATCCTTGCAACCAGGTCCAGCTGCTAAAGTTCCGCGATGTCGATACCGGGACGTGAGGGACGTCAGGGTTGTCCGGTGTGGCGACTGTAGCGTATGCATACCACGTGCTGTTCACCTGGATTAGACCCGGGTCGGGGAAATCATGCACGACGCGGACTGGACGGTTGGCGCTGTTGTAGTAGCTGGGATCGTCGTTGTGTTTATCGTCCAGCAGGAGAACTACTGGGACGGTTATCACCACCACGATTATGGCTACGCTTAGAGCTATCAAGGTGATGAGCCATATTATCTTCTTCCGCGTCCAGATCATGGAGGTGTTTGAGCCTCCTGGGGTTGTGGATGGCTCGGGCGGCTTGGTGGGTGATATAGTACTACCACTCCCATTCTCACCCTCGTCTGTGGATGGGGTGGATTGTGTCCATTTTTTGGTGCTGCTGCTGTTCAGCAGTGACGGGAGGCCTTTCATGGTATCCACCGGAATGTACTTTCTGGGATGTTGCCATCCGCGCGCGCGAACCAGGGAATAGTCTTCAGACTGGAGGGTGTCATCTACTACTCTGTGTTTGGTGGTTAAGGCAGAGGGTTGAGAAGTCAGGTAGCTGAGCCAATGAGGTGAGCCATTGGTGGAAAATAGGTACAGGTTTTGAGGGTCAGTGATAACGGCTCATGGGAAGAGTGGATGGGCACTTCAAGAAGACTAGGTAAGTGATGATAGGCACGACGGTGAGGACAGTTTGGGCTAAAGCACGCAAGTCACTGTGAAACAGGCCGAGGGCGACTTGTCCTGTCTGACCATTCCTAAGATGTGAATGGACGGGACGATCAGCCACTGCCAACAGCGTCGGAAATGTCAAGTTCCTGTTCGTCATTCTGAAAGATCCAGATCCGCACGATCCCCTGCTTACCTCAGCGGCTGGCTTGTAGTAGAGTAGAGCAGGAGAGGATCGAACAGCCACCTCGTATGTTTGACAATGAGTGACCGGGATGCATGCATTCTAGTTGAGACTACAATTGTGAATGCATACACACTCTACCTCAAGGTGCTTCTATTGATAGCGACCAGTACCCTGGATTGAAAACAAGCCACCTACAACCACAGCTCGTTTCCGTGTTTCTCTGGATGAGAAACCTGATTGTAAGGTTTCATCTGCTGGAGAGCGCCTGAGGTGGTTCAGGCACTGTAACATCCAACGGTGGGAATTGTTTCTCAAAGTCCCAGGAAGCCATCCAAGGTCCGGCAGTGTGTCTAGCTGTATCTGGTAAGGAGCGGGTCTGTGAGGCCGCAAAGAGCCATTCAACGCCTGGGGAGGTTCCACGTGTCGCACGTGACCGCAGAGAGGAAAGGGGAATCTGGACTTTTTCCTCACCACAACCTGCGGAGTACCATAGAACAAGTTAAACCTGTAGAGAGGAAGATATGTGCGTGCTTTTCTGTGCAATAGGTGATTAATTGTCAAACTTGACAGTGTTGTTCGCAAAGCCACGAATAGTATAGCGTGACTGCAGATCACCATATGAGCCAACGTGATACTGTGATAGTAAGTTTGTACGGTGCTACTCAGTCGGTTGACATGGCTAGTAGTGGTGGAGGAATATCGAGCCAATGATAGCTGCAGTGGTTGTTGCTTGGCCCTGGCCCGCGCCCTGTAAGTGGACGAGCCGTGCAGGTCAAGCAATGTAGGTGGCTTTCACCTGTCACTATCACGCCGAACGGTCACCCAAACACTTGCTACAAAAAGTCATCTACTAAGCGCCGGAGCCAAGAAGTCGGGGGTGCAGCAGCCGGCTCAGCGTATGACGCGGCTTCACGGGGCTGACGCAGTGTCCACCCTTCAGGCTACGTAAACCGCGTCTTCTTCGGATGGGCTGAGCGGGTGCCCCTCAGGCTTGACTCCGATGTGATAGGGGACACGATTTTTTAGTAGAGATTGATGCGAAAGCAAGAACCCTTTCACCCAAAAAGGGTCGCCTGGAGGTAGAAGTAACCTAATTGCAGCAGGGACTGCTTAGATCTAGACCATGTAGTGGACCTGGCATGGTTTCTAAATTCGTTGCGATCAAGGCGACATTTGGCTGCAAACGGCACCACCACCACTGCCCGATTTGTGGGGAAACGAAGGCGATACCACCTCGGATGGGAAGTTTATCGGCAGCACCACCATCATCCCGCATCTCTTTGAGACAAACCATCGTGCCAAGGGAACTGCAGACCGAAGCACTTCAGACGAGTAAGCAGTTAATCAATCTGACAAGGCTTAGACGATCATCTCCTGTTGCGGATGCAGACGAACGAGGGTGTGGATGCCAACGTCGTAGGCACTGGACTCTCCACAGCCATCCAGCAATTTTTAGCGACGCGTTTCCTGGATCGGAACTTATAATGCAGAACTGCAGTCCCTGGGGGTTCATTTGATCACATAAAAGCATTCAATTCCTTCCTTGTGGTATAGCTTAGCGTCCAGGAAATATTCTCCTGCACGGTGTGGAATAACTGCAACATTCTAGACGGCAAGGGTGGAATGGTCAAATGCTTATCAGCCGAAGTGCCCGCCGTTCTGACGCCACCAACAACTTCTCTTTCGCCGTCGTCACTCTCGGCTCCACTGCTGCTGCTTAGCCTTAAGCTCAACCTTCTTTTTCTTCGCCGGCTCCTCCTCCTCCTCCAGCACCAGCTGGCCTTTGTCGCTCTGCTGCTCTTGACTTGATCTGCTGCTAGCCTCCAAGCGCCCCCCTCAATCTGCAAGACAGCCCGGCAATCACCCCCAATCAATTGTTGTTCTTTCGTTCACGGCGCCTATCTACCCCCGACCACAGCGACCGCGCGGCCCCGGAGTCTTGACGCTTTTCTTACGAAACCCCCCCTAAAACCTTGCAGTGGCACGATCGCACAGAACTGCTAGCTATGCGAAATCGCTGACAGAAATTCTGGCGAAACGGATCTTGACACGATATACATATCGCATCTTGAGTTTATCGTTGCCTGGCACTGATCTGCTTTTGATCGTCGGCGGAGTTGCGGAGAAGACCGGCTGCGGTTCTACATAACACAGCTGTCTGCCAGCTCATTGCGCCTGTGTGACAATCCACCTAATTAGCGATCTTCTCATATTCCCACAGCGATGCTCACCTTCCGGAAGTCGCTACTCGCGGCTGCGCTTCTGATTACCTTTATCGTCTACCTCCGATCGTCGCATACCGCCTCTTCCCTTCCGTCTCCGGATACCTCCTCCGCCGGACACCTCTACAACCAGGATTACGATGGTCATGCAGACAATGAGCGAAAAGGTGGAACTAGAGACACCGTACAACAGCTGCCGCTGACCCCGCCACCGAGCGCCCCCTTGCGCGATCGCTTGCGCTACCACTTTCCGTACGATCTGGAAGCCAAGTTCCCTGCGTTCATCTGGCAGACGTGGAAATATGCGCCGTCATCGATGTTCTTCAGCGAAAGCCTGCGTGATCCGGAGTCCAGCTGGTCCGAGTTACATCCCGGATTCGTCCACGAGGTCGTTCCCGATGATACCCAACGCCATCTGATCAAATACTTGTACGGCGCTGTTCCTGATGTGTTCGAGGCCTACGATGCTATGCCGTTGCCCGTCTTGAAGGCCGACTTCTTCCGATACTTGATCCTGCTCGCGCGGGGTGGAATCTACAGCGATATCGATACCACGGCGTTGAAGCCGGCGTCTGACTGGCTGCCAGCCGAGTTGGATCTGGCCACAGTTGGAGCGGTGGTGGGCATTGAGGCGGATCCTGACCGCCCCGACTGGCATGACTGGTATGCGCGCAGAATCCAGTTCTGCCAATGGACCATCCAAGCCAAACCCGGACACCCCATCATGCGCGATATTGTCTCCTACATCACGGAGGAGACATTGCGGATGAAGAAGGCGGGTATCCTAAAGACTGGCAAGATGGACAAGACCGTCATGGAGTACACTGGGCCAGGCGCTTGGACGGATGCGGTTTTCCGCTATTTCAACGATCCAGAGTACTTCAATATTGAACCCGGCTCGACGTTGAACATCACCTATGAGGACTTTACGGGTCAGGAAGGATATAAGAAGGTGGGAGATGTCGTGGTTTTGCCCATCACCAGCTTCAGCCCGGGAGTGCACCAAATGGGTGCCGGAGATGTTGATGATCCCATGGCATTCGTGAAGCATCACTTTGAAGGTATGCCGTCTCAATTTTTACTATTGCTTGGCTCAAAGCTAACACGCCAACCAGGAACTTGGAAGGATGACCCCTCTCTATAAGCCGTCATTATAAATCGCTTTACATTACACCTTACACTACGATACCTGCGCGAGGTTGAACCCCACTGCTTTGTCGACAGGACTTGCACAACGCACGTCCTTACACAGCTGGATATGACCATATAGCATCAGTGGCATATCATCAGATCCTTGCACCTTGCCGGTTGGGACACGAGTAGGGGCCCTTCATGGCCACCTACACAACAACCTCGCAGCATCCACCCAACAATTTCCGTCCTCAAACTCAATCTAATGCCCCTTGCTCAGCCAAGCTAGCCATGTCCCGTATACGAAAATGCTGGCTCTCCGGCAGAGTGAGCTATTGCTTTGTGCTCATGACTCACGGCTCTCAGCTTAGCTTTCCATCCATGACAAGCATGTCCGAGCTGTAGCTCGATCGCTAGCATGCTTGTCAAATGGTCCCCGTCTGTTTCTTCTCTGTGTTCATATAACCTACATATGTTTTTAGTGTCTTGCTCCAAAATCTTTAGAATTTGATACCCGCAGGCTGGGAACACGAATGAGAACAGCGATGCACTTTGATCTCTTGACATATGTTCTACCTAATTTAGAAGTACATTGTATGCCGGATTGTGTCTTTGCGCATATTTTAATAGAAACTCGTAATTTGCGCTTTTCCTTTCCTTCATAGGTCGATTGAAACGGTAATGCTTTACTTGTCTACAAGAACGACAACATCTTGCTGTCTTGAAGCATTATGACTCTACTTCATAGCGGAAATTACTTCGTATCCGCTCTACCAACCGCAGACAATCGCGTCTCTTCTCCGCCGTGACCAACATCCAGGCAATAAAATGGACCTCGCTCGACTTTGGTCCCACCAATCTGTCCCCTTTCTTCTTGATTGTCGCGTACAGCGGCACATGTGGCTTCAATTCGGGGTACTGATGGAGGAGCTCCGCTGTGGCATCTTCGGTCTTCATGATCCCGGCAACATCTTCTTGGAGGACGAGCACCGAGAGGTTATAGCGAGGTCCATTCAAGAATGGATGGCACAAAGCCCTGTAACGAAGCTCTTCATTGACTGCGAAGAGCATCTGCTGGGCGAAATAATCCACTCCGTAGACCAAGTTGACGCCAACAGTCTCCAGATAGCCTGCTGGGCGGGCGTTTATCTCGAGGAGGTACACACGCACACTCTTCTTCCCATCATTGGTCTTACCTTGTCGAGGATACAAATTCTCAACCCCATTCTCGCTGTCTTTTCGGAACTCATGACTCGAATACTGCAAACGTGCTTCACAATGAAAGGTACCCGTTAGAAATCCTTGACGAAGAATACTCTGGTGCAGCGCATTCCGGATGGCCTTCAGCTCATGCGGTGGAAGCGCTGAGGGGATATGGACCATAGTCTCGACGAAGTTATGGCTTTGTTGTGCGTCTAGGTCCCCAGGGCTCGGAAAGTCGTCACTAATCTCGCAAAAGATCACTTCGCCATTTAGCAGGATGAAGTTCGCGTCGACTTCCGGACCGTCGATGTATGGCTCAATAACGGCGTCACTTCGCTTCTGTGGACCAAGCGCATGGCAGTCACAGGCTTTCTCAACTGCTTGAAATAACTCGTCTTCCGTGGACACTTTGGTGACAGCTTGACTTCCCCACCCCAAGCACGGCTTGACGATGAGGGGATAAGACACTTCTTCGGTGGACCGAAGAACCTTATCTAACTCGTCCGTCCCGAAGACCCGAAATGCCCCGTGCGTGTCTGGTTCCATCATTCGCGTTCGATACTTATCCCCGGCGAGGATATAGGCTGAAGATGGTGAGGTAGAGTATCCGAGAATCTCACACGCTCGAGCCACCCCAATCATGCGGCTATCGCTCACTGTCATCAAGCCATCAATTGGTTTATCGTAGCTGCGGACGGCCGTGACGATCCTATCGACAAATCCCTCATCCACGTCAATATTTGCGGCCACAAAGCCTTCTCGGAGATGGGCGTACGGGCCGTTGTCATTCTGCAGCCAATGCCCCGGCTTGTCAATGATCACCAGGGAGATCCCCAGGGCTGCTGCCGCCTCGTACATGCGTCGGCTCGTATCCGCGTCTTTGCGACCTTCTACCCATGCAAGGCGTTTTGGCACAATTGATGTAGGGACTACCCATGGATATGAAATCCGGTTACAGAGCGCCTCTTCGACGCTCTGGAGGGTGTCGTGTAGATCGGAGCCAGAGCCAGTTTCGAGAAGGACCGCACCGACAGACATCGACAGAAGTGTGCTCAGATCATGCGCTGTTCCATCTATCTGGACTTGAGCGGTCGTGACTTGTTGTAGTGGACGCAAAAGTCCTACCACCTTGGCAATGTGCTTCACCCCATCTAAGCGCTGCTCTAAGAAGTCGGATCGAGCGAGATAGCCGTCTACCCTGGATAGGATAAACTTCATGATAACCGGGCTCTTATTATCAGCCCCTTTGTTGCGTTCAAAAATAGTCGTGGTAATGAAACTTGTGATTTCTGGGGTCAGATTCCAAGGGGTGCAGAACTCCTTGTCATCACCATTTTGGTAACCGTCGAAGCATGCTGCTGATGCAGCAACTTTGTTGTTATAGGTCTTTGTAACTATGGTCTTCGTAGGGTAGAGTGTGAGATTGACAGATTCATGTCTCTGGCCAACAAAGCCCTTGACTGGGTCCGTCTTGTTCCATTCACATGTAAAATGGTCTGATATGCAAATCCATGGTTAGATAATGATCAGTGAAGCAAGAAATGGCTTGGTGGTGGTGGTGTACCAATCTGATCCTGGGTAGTGAGAGCTAGGAAGCAACTGTAGGCCATTGTGGGCGCTAGCAAGACAGGGTCTCGATGAAATTGGGTTTGGGGGGAAGATGAGTTGGTAGATGAGAGCCTTTCAGCCTGGAGTTTTAATACCCGAGTAGCAGGAACACTTTCACCTGTGTCATACTCTTTTCTTGACCAAGCGAGGCAGTTTCAGTATTGGGAGAAGCTCCAGGCTCGGATTCGGCGTACCGTACTGACTGGCTACGTAGTCAGTCACTACTTACTCCGCAGTCCGGGGTTTACTCCGATGCCGTCCACCAGTGAGCCCTTATTCGTTCAAATTATGTGGGTACTAAGAATTCTAGGCCACTTTAGCCCTTAACCCGCATAGGAGATTTCTTGGGCTATTTCTCTAAAAGAAGTGCCATTTGCTGTTGACACTCACTCTAAGGCAAGATACTATTGAGTACTTGCATTGGTTCGATGATTACAATTGCAAGATCTGCACCACGTGTCCGGTCTCTGGCCTCACTGTTCCCTGATTTAAGGACTTTAGGTGAAATTCACATCACCCAATTGCCCTCCCCGGTTAGGCATTCATCTCTGGCACATGTGCATTAATGTAGGTAGGCCTTTTGAAATACATAACAAAGTGGAGTATGATCTTTTCGGTCAGCAACCTGCACAGCTCGGTGTTCCAAGATTAGCGGTCATTGAGATTATCTGGTAAGTCCAGTCTTGTCATTTCTGGGTGGTCATTTGGTAGGGATAGTAGAATAGCTACACTGGTCATAGGAGCTCAACGGTTTCTAGGTAAGAAGTAGAACGGCAATAACATTGGAAAGGATGGGCATCTAAAACGAATCCCAGATATGTATCATGTCTCAATAACAGAAGTTCCACAATGCTTTTGGATGAATGACAATAGCATCTTCTCAACCTCTCCTGCAGGGCCAAGGCGGTATATGTCCGAATTCAAGACACGCTCACGGATAGCTTCGATGAGATCAGCGTCACAACTTTCAAAGACCTTTACTAACCGTTCTGTTAATGGAACAGGCAAGCTATGCATAATACATATTTGGATCAGAGGAACTAAGCCACTGTAGTGTCTTTTGTTCGAGTTTTGACCACGAGTAGATGAATTCCGGGCACTCTGGAAGACTTCCTCCGATAGATCGACTGCTCTAGTATATCGAACAATGTGGGTCGCAGCCTTATACTGAACTGGTGGCAGAATGAAAGGCTTATGACAATTTAAATAGTCACAGTTGTTCCTTTCAAACCTCCAGATCGCTCTCCAAACGTCGTTAAAGTTTATTTCGGCAGGCCATTTATGGAGGAGCCACTGTAGCCCGGAAAGGCTGGTTGCGGCAGCAGCAACCATGACTCTTTCAGTAAGTGGTAGTGCCTGGAATCCATACCTTTCAATTAACCAAGGTAATGCAGACAGTTCTTGATAAGTGGCAAGCATAACCACTTTCTCAGTTAGAAAAGGAGGCACATCGGGTCCAAGTGCGTGGAGAAGAAGTTGGAAAGCGTCCAAGGTGTACGAGGCTGCCAACAGAACTTTCTCAGTTATTGGTACCTGTGGGCCACAACGAGCGAGAATCCGTCTTAAATTTTTGGCCGGTCTTTCTGCTCCTGCCACGGCTATCATGAATTCTTCCGAGATTGGAATATCCTCTATTCGCTCATCGAGCAGAATGCACAATGCTTTCTCGTGGGATGCTGCTGCTGCTCGGATGGCGGCTTTCTCTGTGATGCGTACACATGGTGCTGTCTGCAGCAGGAGTTCCAAAGCTGGAGGATTGTGCGCAAACCTTTCCACAATTTCTTGGTCAACTTCGAAGAGCTTTCTTTTCAAAAGGAGTTGGATTATATCTGTAGCACTCTGATGATCACCGTACTTTTCTAATGTGATTAGCATCTTCGAGACCGGTAATTGTCCATGCGGTTGTTTCATTAGAAGCGCTAGCATCGATGAATCGCAACTGCATGCTTCAACAAACATATTATCGCTCATTTTGGCCATTGGTCGTTCGCAGAAAATTGCCTTCACCGTGTTAGATGTGAAGCGTCTTACAGCATGCGACATGACCTTTTCCGTGAGAGGAAGGGCCTCTATTTGAGACCTTGCTTCAAGATCTAATAGAAAACAGATCGAGGCTTCACTCCTTGAACTGAGCAATATGTCTTCGGTTATTGAGATCCTCAAGCCTCCGTTGTTCATGAGTATCTCAAAGATATCTTTACCTTGTGGGTTAGAGGCTGCTTCGCATAGAATTGCATGAGTGACGTTGAATCCAGCTTGCTGCCTGTGTAAAAGCATGTTGAGCATCTCAGCTGCATATTTCCAGTTGTCCAGGATCTGCAGCATGACTTTTTCGCTTATTGAAAAATCCGGACCACAGTCATCTAGTAGGAGTTCAAGCATTTCGAGAGAATGGGGTGCGTTCGGATTACACACTGCCGTACAGAGTATATCCTCGCTAACCTGTGCCCGATGCTGTCGTCGACAAAGAATTTGACGCAAGACACCGACATGGAGTGCATTATTAGCCGCTCCTACCAGAACATTTTCAGCCAGCAAGAAATCGTCACTCAATGTACTTAGAAGTACCTCCATTGCCGTTTCGCTTGCATACTCTGCAAAACCGGCAATGAACTTCTCATCCAAGTCAATTTCTGTATGCCGTTCTGCAAGAAGTAATGCTATCGCGCTGTCGCTGAGGAGGGCCGCACATGCCAGCATCTTCTTGATCTGTGGATAGATCTTGACGTCGGCATTGCGCCTTTTGAGAAGAACCTGCAAGACATCGCCCCCACATCCTCTGTTTCGCAGTACGGTTTCCAATACGTACTCTGTCACAGGCACAATTGCTACTCCTGTCTCTTCGTACTGATCAAGGAGGATAGCCATTAGGTCCATGCCACAACGCTCGTTCTTTGCTGCAGCGACAACAATTCTTTCATCTATGTGGATAACTCCGCTCTCAGTTCCAGTGTAAAAAATCCCTGAAGCTGAGAGTGTGTCGAATATATCTTCCAGCGTCTTGACTGTGAGACCGTAGCGTTGGACACTATTCAATACGCCCTCGGCCAGGTCAAGAGATATGAACACCTTGTGCAGCAGCAAATCCAGTACATCCAGATGCCCATTTTCAGAAGCTAACAATACTGCATTTCTAGGCTCTTGAAACATTCCGCACCAATATGCAAACCACTCCAAAGGGTCTGCGCCTTCTTCTAGTAACCCATCCACGGTTTGAATGAGCCCTAATCCAGACGCAGCACCAATAGGGGTTGGGTGTACTTCTTGCTCCTCAAGCTCGGTTGATATATAACGCCAGTTGCGGTAGATAGCCGGGTGTCGGAAAAGCTGGTTCACCATCTCCTGCAGCTTTTCGAGTTCTAGGCTTGGAGTAACAGCACAAACATTGAAGTGTTGGTGCCAGTTACAGGCGGCATAATCTAGCAGCAGCTCCTGTCTCGCTTCCTCTTTGAGCAGACGCCGTGTGTTTTGCAGTAGAATTCCCAGACTGTGCTTGGCTAGCATGACATGACCATCCAAGGTGGAGAGTTGGTGCCATTGGCCAGTACTTTGGCTACTAACAAGAAATTCTTTCACAGAGAAGTGAGCCAACCTGATCTCATCATCCATGCGCCGATAAGTGACAAAGGAAGTTGTGCAAATTTTGATAATGTCCTCTGGGACTCCAAGGCCTGCTGCTGCTGCAACTTCTGCCAGGGTGAGAGGTCTGGCACAGAAACAGAGCCAGGTGAGTATCTTCTTGGCGAATATGATATCAGAGGGCTTCGAGTTGATTCTTTCGATTACAGAGATGTATATCTCGTGCAATGTCTGTGGCATAGTCTTCAACGCTTCTGAGATCTCGGACTCATTGCGACATTCCTCTAGACGCTTTATTTGAAGGTCTGCCCAGCGAAATCGTCTGCGCAAATGAGTACTTTTCTCAACGAAAGCACCAACTAAGCGAGATGCAACTTACCTCTTGTCGTCCTGTAGCAGCTCGTGAATTATCTGTGTTTTCACTTCCTTTGGAGCGATTCTATCGTCCAGAGCCTCAACTTTGACCTTAACAAAGGCTAGAATGTCAGACCCCTGCTTTTCCTCGAGGTCTAAAGCTGTACACCATTCAAGGTGTTCAATTATATCTGGCTCTGGCCGACTAGTAACAAGAATGTGAATGTTATCACTGCAATTCTTTCGGAGTTCGGTAAGAAGTGCCAGCAAAAAGCTTCTTTCCTTGCGAATGACTGCGTTGGGACATTCATCCAACGCATCTAGAATGAGGAAAACGTCTCCTTTGTAGGCGTTAATCATTTTGTGGAGGGTCTCTTGAAGCATTGCATTGCTTGGATTGCTTCCTTTGGTACCATGCTCTTTCCAAATGCGCCTGATAGGCCCATCTAGTGGGTTTGAATGGAGCTGTCGAATGATAGCCCTGAGCATATTCTCAACTCTTTGCGATCCTGGGTCATTGAATTGGAAGTACCAGTAGGCGAACCGCATCTTTGAACTATCCAGGCACATTCGTTGAACGTCCCCAATCACTGTCGAGCTACATATTTTTATATGTTAGCTAAGATACAACCTACGGATTCCACGAGTCTTTCATACCATATGACTGATTTACCACAACCCGCTTGTCCAGCAGTCAGTGTATTTTCCCCTCAGTTCTGAACGGTGCCTAGAAAACTTACCCACTCCATGCAACCAGAAGATACTACCTGGGCAGTCCTTCCACTCTACATAGGCTTTTGACTTCAAAAGCCAATCACCTGTCCCTGGTGATCGGTGATCCTGAGTGTCGTTCTGAGCTTTGGAAAAGTCGTACTGAGATAGCCATTCAAGGATTCCTTTGTCCTCGACACCTGCTAACGTCAGACTATGAGTATCTGGTTGAGATTTCTGAGACAGCCTACTTAGTACAGTGGACTGAACTTTCTGGAGCTCTTCGACAGTCTTGTCAATAGCCGCAAGAATTTCCGCAGCCTGTCCCTTCAGATCTAACATATTTAAGCATTTTGAAGATACAAGTAGGGTTCAAGATGATGAACTTACATGTGCGATCGGCGCTGGTAGCCCATTTTTCAGCCATTGTGATTTTATTTTCCACAACTGTTCGAAGCCTTTGCAGTGGCTGCTCGGTAAGGGGTATGAGTGTGCTTCCTATGCGAGCTGAGAACATGCATGTTAGACATCCTTCTTATATGACAGAATACTCCCCAGACTAACCAAAGCCGCTTTCATGGTGTATCTTTTTCACTTCCGCCGTGTATTCAAGTATCGCTGTATAGACTCCCACAAGAGCACTTTCTAGCTGCTTGTCACCAGCGGCATTTGTGTATCGGCGGTCGCTATCCAAGAAGCTAAAAAATGCTAGCTGCTCTGCTAAGTATTCGGAGGCTTCTAAGATGGCATCTCTGCGCGCAATACCTCTCTGCACCATCTAGAAAGCGAGTTATACATTTTGTAAGTGGCTGCTAACGGAAAAGATTTCAGGAAGTCGCCTACCGTCAAACCTAGCGAAACTATTGTCCAGGCGCTCGATGCTATTGTTAGATATCAGCATCTCTCGAGCTTTGTGGCTTAAAAAAGAATTGGGGATCTACCATGACCACTTGGGTCGAAACCCACGATCGCGGTGATTATTTGCTGCGCATTCAATGCAGACGCAAGGATATTCTGGGCAATTTCGCGCACTTTGATTTCACCCCCATCATGCTTTCGGATAATCAACTCTTTCTTCTTATACTCCGTATATTTAATTTCGGTCTCGCTAATAACATTTTGAATGACCTTTGTCGCGGACTGTTCCTCTTTGGACAACCACTGTTTTTGTTTCGGATCAAGGTTGTCGAATGCTACTTGCCAGAGATCCTTGGGTGAGGCAGCAGCGTGACCCGAGGAGATGGTAGCAACCTCAGGACTGATGCTCTTGGTCAGGCTGGCGCCTCCTTCATTAATCGAACGTCTCGCATGGGGAATGGCAGGTTCGGCCTTGTCAGCGTCACCATCAGCCTGAGCACAGCAGAGCTTTGCACGTAGCTTCGTCAGCATTCTGCAGCGAAGTGATATTGCGCCATGTGCATATACAAGTTGAGAGGAAGTGAGAGGTGATACTGGAAATGTTCAATGGTGTGAGTTGAAAAGTCCCCTCTTCTGACCCCGGCTAGTGCGTCCTCGGGTGTCTGCAGCTGCTGTACACGTCATCCTGCAGGAGACTAGCATAGCCTCGTCACAGCCTACTTGGCAGAACTGCGCGTTATTAGTATAGAGAGATAATGCCTAGATGTGAGTACAAAACTGAACTTCATCTTGAAGTATACTTGATATATCAAAGGATGTTACAGCAGGGGTGCTAATAACACTTATCTTCTGGGTTATTCCCGTCCCCACCAGACGATCTTCCATACTTTGAAATACCTCTGTCAACTCCTGCGCTCTACACGATGTGGAAACCAGTGGACCTTCCCTTCCAGAACTCCGAGCCTCTGCCTCCACTACCTACAACAGATGAAATCCGCGCTTGCACCAATGCGCTCTGGGAGACTATGGCATCCAAGGTAGTGGCGATTTACGACGATATTGTCGTAAAATATGGAGGTTGTAAATACCTGGGAAGGTCAGGCATTGATTTACCTGGAACGACATGTCCCCGAAGTCCCAGCCCCTCGACTATACGCGATGTACTATGAGGGCAAACAACTCTTCTTGGACATGCAACGCATTCCCGGCGTACAGCTGAATACCATCTGGCCATCATTGACCTCATCCGAGAAGGATGGTATCATAGCAAAACTCCAATCGATATTCGATGCTATGCGAAAAGCCGAGTGCCCATGGCCCGACTTTTTCGGGGGTATGGACGGCGGTGGCGTACATCACTACCTATTCTATAGCCAACATGGCGACCACAAGTTTCTAGGGCCTTTCACTGGTGAACCTGCCTTCGTCGCAGGCCTTGTAGGTAATTATAGGGCCTTAGTCGAGCGCAATAATCATCCAGACTACAAAGCCCGCTTTTATGAAAAATATCTCGTTCGCGTCCTTCAAGGTCATCGGCCTACATTAACGCATGGAGACGTTCAGCAGAAGAACATCATGCTTGTGGAGAACAAAACTTGCCGAACTGATCAAGGTGGGCGGTCATTTGACGTCGTACTGGTTGACTGGGAGAGTGCCGGGTGGTTTCCTGACTTTTGGGAATTCTTTTGTGCATCGTGTCCCTTTATATTTGATTGGAATGAAGACTGGTCATGGCGAGTTCAGGAGTTTGTTCAAGTGTGGCCTGCTGAGGTGGCTATTCTGCAATTGATTGATAGAGATTTAGGCTGGTGAGGTATGTTGCTGGCATCGACCTTTCTCTTGATATAGACGCAACTGAAAGCGATTGTTGCAGGGTTTATCTTTCTTACTACTCTCAAAACTATTCCTCGGCCCATAACAAGAGGCTGGAAGGTGTATTCGATTGAGCGAGCGGGGCTGATAGGGAGTCTTCGATCAATGCTAATGATATGTTAGTATTCCACGGTTGACCATCTATATCAGTAATAAAGATTGTTAACTTATCTTATGTATAGAAAACTTCAGCTTCAACTTTGAGCCTCCTATGTAATTAGTATATAAGTCTTCTGGGGAGAGAACTAGAAGAGGACTACTCAATGAAATAGTTTAACCGTCAGCATATAAGCTGGACTGTCTACCAAGGGTGTATAGTAGTGAGTTAGAGTTCTGCACCTGGGAAATGTCCATGAATGGTGATTCTTATGCATTTTACTTTTTTTTTTTTTTTTTT